ATTTCAAGAACAGTAGTCAAACAGCAACTTTTAAAAATTAGACATTTTCCATTAAACTGCTCATTTCCACTTGCTTTATAATGTTAGCATTTGCAATTTTGTTATTAAGGAATGACAAGGAATAAGAATTACCAACTATCAATAAATAAATGTCAAAGAGTAACTAAAGCAAAATTCTTATATTAAAGGTTAAACTGTGTTGTGTGTCCATCTTCATGTTTTCTTAGTGGCTGAGCGGAGAGCTGACCAGAAACAACGGTGGTGGCAAAACCCAGTTGGGTCTGGGATGGAGTGATGCACGCCTGGAGTGATTGCCATCTCATCCACAGTAAGCACACAATCTCTTTCCATCTGTCAGATTATTAACCTTCAAACTGAGCATGTCACACACCTCTCCTAACACACCTGGTTCCAGTTAATGGGCTGCATTTGTCTTTGCAGGGTTCTAACATCAGGCAGAGGGATACTCGTGTCCTGAAGAAACCTGTAGCCTATTGAACCCACTGAAAAACCGAGTTGTACCGCCTTTTTGATTGTCTATTTACTCCCTTAGGTTTTCCAGCTGGGTTCCCTGGTTGCATAGCCTGTTCTCTCCTCCTGGCCCTGACGCCGGCTCCTCATGGCTTCCTGGGATGTCCCTCTCTCCTGTTACCATCTCATGTTCCCCCTCACTTTCCCTCATCTCATTTGCCTCACTGCTGCTGCTGCTTTCCTCATTCTCTGAAATTATAATGACACTGTTAGAATAAAGAATCATTTTTAAATAAAATAAATACAATTGTCTACTATTTCAAAAGATTCGTACCACAGTTTACTTGAGTACAATATGTGTGGTCACTGGTCAGTGGATCAACATGCAGTGGTTCTGCTGTACTTCACTGCGGGATCCGTCCTCCTCCTTGGTTCAGGGCGATGAACAAACAGGGTTGGAACAGCATCAGCCCTGAGTCTCACCTTGCCTAGCCTAGTCTTAGTAAACTGTCCCTCCTCAAAATGTGCCTGTAGAGTGGTGTAGTAGTTTATTTCCTGCCACATTTAACAGTTTAATTGCAGCCTTGTGCAGTTGAGAGCAAAACATGTAGAGCCTTGTTAGAAAACATTTGAGAGTGCACATTAAACTCACTGCACACAGCTATTTGTTATTGTGATCTCTGGTCATGGTGAGGTTGCTCCTGCTGACTTGAGCCAACCATTTTCTTCTTCTCTCTGCATCTTTGGGTAAGCCATAATTCTGATTCCTCCCTCAGACCGATTGCTATATGCAGGGCAGCTAACCATGGTAAGATAATCAACCTATAAAGGTATTAAAATACTATTTTGTACATATAGAAATATTGAACTAAATGAAAAATATATAGATGTAAAATTACATTTAAAATTTTATCCAACCCTAAAATTTGTAATTTAGAATTTTTTACCCACTGACAATTTTTTAAAATAATATTCAAAATGAAGTTATTCAAAAGAGTTTCATTAGGTCTTGACTACATTGCTCATAATTATTGATTCAGCTTATTTGCGCATATGTAATGACTAAACTGTTGGTAAAAATGCTTTATCAAAAATGCTATACATGTTGTACAAGTTTGGTGTTCATTTTTTCACAATTAACACACTTTTGTCATCTACTGTGTTTGACCATACAGTTTTATTGAAAATTTCTTTTTAATTAGTTGCTATTAGTCAGGCTATAGAAGCCAGATAAACCAGGTTATAGATGCATGTACTGTCTTCACATAAAAATATAAAGTAATGATTGTAAAATGTATTCTACTGAACATAATAGATCATCATTCAAAGCATAAACAGCTACATATTTTCTTCAAGGTAAGCTGGAGCAGAATTCTAGCTTTCAATAAACCACTTTAAAATGGATATTACAACTATTAGAGCAGTGTGTTGCATTACTACATCAAATGTATTGCCATAATATATTATAGTAATGTATGTGGTCTAAATGTATTCTACAATGTGTTAGGACTGTCGTGTTACCGTAATGTAGAACAGTCACGGGTGTCTGTCTTCCTACAAATGCTCGGAAAAAATAAAGGCTACTTTGTGAAGGAGTTGGGACATAATATGTGATATATAATGTTATTCAATAATTGCCAAAAATCGCCAGGGGAAATGTGACGATATTATATTTTTGTGATTTGTTCCACCATACGTCGTTCAGACTGACTTAAGGCGCTGGGATGTTTGGAACTATTGAGAGCTCCATAAACCACATGACCGCGAGTCGGCGAGTTCAAAGCGTGTCGCAACTCTCTCTTTATACAGCTCTGATATATCCATTTCCATATCCATATTCATTTTATTAAATAAAAATAAAACAGTACTGACATAAACAGCTTTTTTATAATTTAAATGTCCATGTTGGCCGGTAATTATCTGGATCTGGGTGAAGTGGAGCCTAAGTCTCCTCCCCTTCTGGTTGGCTCATGGGTCCCCGATCAAAAAAAAAAAAAAAGTTAGTGAACTGGGCTATAAAAGTTATTTTCTTGTCTTTCTGGGCTTTGCCTTACACCCTGAGTCACATCTGTCAGGCTTTTCTAATCCTAGAGTTTCACCGTCTATCAGATTTTCTATCAGAAGCTAATGCAGGAGATAGCTGTAGGAGACTATGTTCATGTTCAGCCTGCATGAAACACTCAGTGACATGTTAGAATCAGAAATAATCATTCAATGTATTTTTTTCTGTGAGATTGACCTATATATTGACCTAAAACAGATTTGTTAGATTTTCTAAAATGTGTCCCACCCAATATTAAACTCGCTCCTACGCCCTTGCTCCAACGTATGATTACGTGTACTAAAATTACGTTATTTATTCATATGAGCATCACTGTTCAGAGATCTTCTCATTCCGGTGTGAGAGCAGCAGCTGAACCCGGTCAGGGGCGTGTCCAGATGCTTTAAAATGGGGTGGCCCAGGCGAGTCACAACTTTGTGCATGGGTGGCACCAATGGTTACGCTTTTTTTGTTTTACCCCCAAGCCTTTTGTGGACAATGAAAAGCCTATTTAAAGGTAAATCAGTGTGGTGGCACCTGGGGTGGCCAATCAGATTCCAAGGGTGGCATGTGCTACCCCGGGCCACTCCCTGGACACGCCCCTGAACCCGGTAACACCACCAGCAACAGAAGCTGGTAGGGATCCGGACTTTTTAAAAATCAGCTTTGGTGTAAAGTGAAACGCTGTTTATAACATAATGTTATAAATCCAGAGGGGTGATTTTAGGCAAAGTCAGCAACATGTTTACATCGGTGAACAGCTGCAGAGAGAACATAAGCTAATGTTGGTAAGCTAGCTAACATACCGCTCTCTATGAGCCCCGGCTAGATGCGCTACTTCTTCTGATAACTGAACTGGGCATGAACTAGTTGAAGGAATGCTGGAGGAGTTTTGTTTTTGTTTTGATCGCAACAACAATTTCAGGCTCTACTTTTCCCTTTGTTTAGCACTCATGTCGCTCACTTTTTACATGCTTTTGCCGTCCAGCATGGTGGACCCACGTGATTAGGTGACGTTGGTGCAAAAGGTCAATAGTGCAGCTTGGAATCTCATTCCTAAGCAGCTTCAGTCTATAGGTCACACCTTCCTGTATCTAATCAACACAATGACTCCCTCTCAATAAAGGCCAACGACTCATCAGGGGATAGAGCTCCGGACCCCACGTGACTCTCAGTTAGTGGACGCCATTTTGGCATGCAAAAAAGGTAAACAAACACGGATGTAACCATGAACATGAACGGGATCCGCTTGGATTTTACTTCGTCGGAGTTTACTTCACACTTTAAAACAGAAGAAATCGTTTTATATAGTCAGAAACTAAATAGACTAAACATCTCCGACCCTTACCGTGCCCCTGGGATACTTTTTAAAAATGCCAGAAGCTGTCGGAGCGGACTTCTTACCGGCACAACACCGGACCTGACCGGGGAACCCCTTGGGATTTACCCGGAGGAGCTGGCTCCGGCGGCTGGGGAGAGGGAAGTCACGCTACTGCCCCCGCAACCCGACTCCGGATACGCGGATGAAAATGGATGGATGGACGGACAAATAACAGATTTACACGTAAGTAGTCTCGGTGAGACAGATAATAGCAATCCAAAGTGCTTTTTATGTGTGATCTGATCAACCATTGCTTAAAAATTATATACAGCTTAGCCGGTTAAATGCTGTCATCATAAAACACGGAAACGGCAGCACGCAGAACTCACGAGGCAACGTTTTCATGATGTTTACTTGTTGCTATGAGTAATAAGACAGAAAAAGCCACGCCAAAATAAGTTTAGGAAGCCCACTAAGAATCATAATAAAAGCATTTAAAATAAATACCATACACAGTTGAGGAAACGTTGGTTTAAGTACCTGATATGAAGTGGTCGCTGCATAAGCGAAAACCTTTACTCTCGGGATCCCACAGCTTCATTTTCGCCCGGTCACTAGCGCGTTTTATTACAATGATCCAACGTTTGCGGCGCTCCGGATCTTGGGGAATCCTGTAGATGGCTCATCCCTTATGTCGTCTGTGTCTGTTCTGCATCCTGGGGCACAACAGGAATCTACCATATTTCCCGTTTGATTGAGTTTTCTGACAATAACAAATAGTCCAGCTGCCGGCTTCTGCATGCCAATATGGCGCCGTTTCGATTTGAACTGTTGCATGCTGGGAGAAGTGACGTCAACTCCCGGAGCTCTATGGAGGGGCGGGGTACCCAGAGTAGTTTTAGCTCGTTAAACAGCAACAGACAGCCACAGCTTATAAGCTTGACTCTCCCAGATTCCAGTTAGAATTGACAAAGATTTAAAAACCAAAGAAGTCCCGTTTCCTTCATTTGAACCCTTTGGATCATTGTCTAACACCATTAAACAACATCCGTGTCTGAGCTGTGGCAGAACATAAGGACACCAGATATAACAATAAATTTGAAAGTATACAATAAAGTAATTTCAATAATGTGAAAGTAGTCATTTATAATAGTTTGCTGTGATTACCTCTGCTGCATACTGTTTCCTGTTCACCGTGTGTTCAGAACCGGTGGGTTGGCCGGAAGAGCCCCAATGGAAATGCAGCTGGGCTGCAGAGTAGCGATGACGCAGGTTTGAGATGAACATCTTGGAGGGCAAAGATATTTGCACTGCAAATCCACCCACACACACACACACACACACACACTCACGTCAAAGGGCAGATCAAGTGTCACCTCAGCTCACAACAATCAGAAAGCATTAATTTTACCCTCATCCAAACACAGAACGCAGTCAGAGTCGTGTGGCTGCCTCTAACACACATAATGGTTTTGTGATGTATGTTGCACTTCACATGTTCGTCATCGTGTCATAAGTGCTTACGCATGAAAAAAAACCTCTGTCAGCTAGTTTGAAACACACACGACGATGTCACTCAGTGTGTGGTGTGAAGGTCCATCAGGTATGCATGCATAAGCATTTGTCTTCTTTACATTCTGTCAGTTGTAAACAGTTCATTTATGCAGATTTATCAGCCATGAGTTATCGTCGTGACTTGTCAGACGCTGCATGTTAAGCACAAGTGTCACTGAAAGTTCTGATGTATTCTGACAGACGTTCATCAAATCGGCTCCATAGAATCCTACTCTATGCAAAACACGCGGAGAACATGAGCTGGAAATAAAAATTACACGGGAAATTGAAAACATAAGTTGATTTCATTTAGATGAACTAGTTCTGATCACAGACATTGTTAAGAGCTTTCTATCTTAGTAAAGATAGTAAAATAGTGTTAAAGGGATGCTTTGCCATTTTGCTTTCTTAGCACCCCCTAGTGTCCATTATTAATTCTCTGTGGTTAAACAGAAAATGAAACTTTTCTCCTCGTTCGTCTTTTTAACACCTTAATCTAACAGCTGAAATGTCTCCTCAGCTTTAATTAGTTTCTAGAACAGCAATTCATCACAAAATCAAACAAGTCAGCTGTGTCCATGATCTATAACATGCAGGAAATGTGCTGGAAGCAAACTCCGGCACCTCCATGTCAGCTCCACTCAACTTTACAGCCCCTCCAACAGCAGGGACCAGATGGCAACTCTGAAGTTGCAAGTGTGATTTTCTGACCACGGGGGCAATAGGGGCTGGGTGGCCTTTCATTAACCTTGTAAAGGGACATTTCAGCACATACTGGCTAAAAACATGATTTAAAAAGAGGAAAAAGTTGCCTAATAATATTCCTTTGATGCAAAATGGTTGCCAGGACGATCTGAAAATGAATTAATTTGCTTTGCCTCGTTCTCATCAGTTGTGAATCCTTTAACGTGCATTTTTAAATTTCAGATGTTTTCATAGATTCTGTTGATTCATACTCACTCGAGTGTCCATTATTCCCAAGAGTGAGTTGCTCGATTGGTGACAGGTTGTAGTTCTGAACTTCGATTGGACGTAAAGTCGGATCAAACCTCAGCAGCCCTGAACTGATGTCTATTGGGGACTGGAACGTACCGCCGCAGTACGGGAAATGTTTGGGCCAGTGATGTTCTCCTTCAGATCCTGCAACACCAACAAGAACCCTCAGTACACCAAACAACCACGTCAAAGTAAAAGACAAAGAGCCACGTCTAAGTCCACGTTATCACAGATCCACAAGTGTGGTCTATTTCTTTCTAAGGAAAAGGAAGAAGTACAGAGCTCCAACAGGAGCCTCAACAGACGTGGTTTTTTAAACATTTCAACCAGTCAGTGGTTTGCTGGTGAGTCAAACTGTGCCACATTATGGAATAATGGCTACAAAGCCAAACAGAGTGAAAACCAAGTTCATTTTTGCACCAGTTAGAATTTTATCTTCTAAATGAGAGGTTTTCATTCAGCACAAAACACCCAAAATGCCACATCTACGGATCCAGATTCACATACTAGATGAACTCAGCTTTTTTCCAGCAAACACATCTGCTAAAGGAATTAATCACAACATGTTTTATAACAGGATTTGACAGTTTTTTAAACTTTTCTAACATTCTGATAAAATTAGGGCAAATATTTGATATTTTATGTCCTTTCTCCAAATGTTTAATTGTGAAAATGTTGCATGAAACAGTATTCTCCTGTCAGTTGTGTGAGTGGCACAGATTCAGGAGGAATTATTCCAAAGCTTCATCTGACGCGAGTGGAATATTAATGAAACAGCACACAGCTTGATCCCAAACCCGACATTCAGACAAATCGAATTAGACGTGCCAAGAAGCATCGTGTGAAGCTGAAGACTCACTGAAAAGGGGGTTCTGGCAAGACTCAAACCGGTTTATAAAGTTTTATCCCATAATAAATAGTTTTCAAAAAGCACAAATGTTAATAACAGCTCACTGATCACTTTAAAGTGTCCTTTAGTTGTTTTCTTTGGTGATAACTGATCAAGCATAGACATCTTGGGTCATTTTATACACTTATTTTATGTAAAAAGACTGAAAATCAAACCATTTCTGAAGGATTTTCTGTTATATGAAGTAAAACTAAAACAATCACCTTTAAAACAGTTTTAAGATTTAGTGTCCGTCTTTTGCTGGAAGGTGAAGTGATGTTTGGATGGATTTTGCGACTCAGCAGTGGCTGTGTCAACAGAAAAGGCTGCCAGCCTCACAAACTGACTGTTCTGAAAATAATCCTCTCTGGGGTCTGAATGTAAGTGAGAGGGAAGTTTGTGACACCTCAGGGAGATTATTTAATAATTTTATTATTGCACAATAATCTATAGGATTTTCTTCTCTGTTTACATTATATTTTATGTTTTTTTTATAAGATTGTGTTGGAAATGCTAAAATGGGCAAATATGACCCTATAATAACACAGGGATCATAAAAAATGCTTATATTCTATTAGGGTGCCTGAAATTTTAGAAGACTAAACTAAAGACTCTTCATTCTAAAAAATCCATCCAAGTATGTTACTTTCGTATTATTAAAAGTAAACAACAGACTTGCTGAAAGAGATAAAACAGAAAACAGACAGCACAGATGACCTCTAAAAAGAAAAACAGTTAAAGTTTTTTATTTTTTTTCTTGCTTGAGCTTCCTCACGTTTGGTTCGAACCTTTATTCCTGGAATGGAAATAATTTTTGAGAGGCAGTGGCTCAGTGAGAAGTGGTCATGTCGTGACCACAGTTTATGTAAGAGAGAGTCATGGGTCAAGAAGTCTTTAAACCTCACAGCGTGGCATAAAGGCAGCAGCCACTAATAAAATGTTTTGAAGAGAGTTTGTAAATGAGCTCCACGATAACATGAGGTGATGGGGGTGATGTCAGCAGTTGTCCTGTAGTCTCGCAGACTTTTTGGTTTTCTTTTGATGAGGAAACATTAACACTTTACCCAAGTATGGGAGGGCAAAGCAGCATGCAACACGCTGTCTGATGAAACTATTGCACATTTTTGTTGCATAAAAATTATTTACAATGTTTGATTAGTTAGTTTTTTTTTACTTTAAGGTTGTACAATTTATCATTTAGGTAAGTTATAACATTTATTTAGTATTTCTGTAAAAATATAACTTTTTAACTTGTTAGATTTCAGTCATAAAACAGATTATGTTCAGAAATGATTAATTGTGAGAAAAATATAGTCAAACTCACCGTTGTACGTCCATTTATCACCTGAAACAAGCCCAAAAAAGTTATTTTTACTACATAATTTTGAAAAAGTAAATTGCGACATAATATGATTAACAGCATTTTCGGCATTCCCAGAAAGTTTTTCTGGTTATCTCACCTCTCAGAGCGCTGATAAAAGTCAGCTGCAGGACGGCGCTGAGGCTGAAGGTCTGAGAGAGCATCCTGAACAGCTTTCCTTTGATGAGGAGCAGAGAGGAGCAAAGCGGAGCAGAGCAGGAGGATCCAAAAGTCTTTTTATACTCATGTCAGCTTCCCTGAAGCCTCGTGATGTCACAGCCATCAAGTCAACGCAGGATGACAGCAGCGCAGCAAGGACCGCATCCAAGCAAAACCAGTCATTTGTGTTTCCAGCTCATCAGCAGACGGCAGAGGTGTCGGGGTGAAGCGCAGAGCCGAGGCGAACCGAACCGAGAGGAGCTGAGCGCGCATCCCGCTAGAGCTTGCTCCACTCACCACAAGGGTGACCAGATATCCCGCTTTGTGCGGGACAGTCCCGCATTTTCATTATTTTTCAATTAAGACTCATGTCCCGCATTATTGACAGTTTGCCGTTTCGAGTTTCAATTTCATAGAAGAAACTGGAAAAATCTGCCTGTTGCTGTCAATCAAACGGAGGCGGGACATTATCGCAGATCCGGAGCGTGTGTGGAGCGCGCCCGAACCACCAAAACAAGCGTGAGCGAGCACGGAGGAGAAAATGCAAACACAGACAAGGTGCTGCGATTTCAGATACCTGCGTACATGCAGCACAGTGAAGAAATAATGAGAGAATAAATGGAAGCTTTGATCACTTATTCTCAGAAATTTGAGGCAAAAAGTAACTCTTAAGAAACTCTACTTAGATCTTAATTTTGTAGAGGTTAGAATCTGATGTTGATTTTCTCACCTAAAAGCTCCTCCTTGAACCGTCACCTTATCGTAGTGGAGGTGTTTGAGTGCCCTAATGATCCTAGGAGCCATGTTGTCTGGGGCACTTTGTGCCCCTGGTAGGGTCTCCCATGACAAAAGGGTCTTAGGTAAAGGGTGAGATAAAGAACGGTTCAGAAGATCTTTCATGGATGTAAAAACAAAGAGCCGGAGTACCCGGCCCGGAGGGTTACCAGGGTCCCAGCCTGTAGCCAGGCCTGGGGTTGGGGCCCATGAGCGAGCGCCTGGTGGCCGGGCTGTCGCCCATGGGGCCCGGCCAGGCCCAGCCCGAACCGGATACATGGGCTCATCCAACTGTGGACCCACCACCCGCAGGAGGAACATGAAGGGTCCGGTGCAGTGTGGATCGGGTGGCAGACCGAGGCGGGAGCATTAGCGGTCCGATCCCCGGACAAGGAAACTGGTTTTTGGGACATGGAACATCACCTCACTGGCAGGGAAGGAGCAGGAGCTTGTGACAGAGGTTGAGCGGTACCAGCTAGATATAGTCGGACTCACCTCGACACATAGCATTGGCTCTGGAACCCAAGTCCTTGAGAGGGGTTGGACACTCTCCTTTGCTGGAGTTGCTCCGGGTGAGAGGCAGAGGGCTGGGGTTGGCTTTTTGTTAGCCCCAAGACTCTCTGCCTGTGTGTTGGGGTTTACCCCGGGGGACGAGAGGGTAGCCTCCCTGCACCTTCGGGTCGGGGAACAGGTCCTGACTGTTGTTTGTGCTTGTGCGCCAATTACCCACCCTTTTTGGAGTCCCATGGACAAGTGCTAGATAGTGCTCCATCAGGGGACTCCATTGTCCTGCTGGGGGACTTCAATGCTCACGTGGGCAATGACAGCATGACCTGTAGGGGTGTGATTGGGAGGAATGGCCCACCTGATCTGAACTCGAGTGGTGTTTCATTGTTGGACTTCTGTGTAAGCCGCAGTTTGGCCATAACGTACACCCTGTTCGAACATAAGGATGCCCATCAGTAAACTTGGTACCAGGGCAGCCTAGGTTGCAGGTCGATGATAGACTTTGTGTCACGTTCTGCCCCTGCCTTCCTGACTGTTTCTCTCTCCTGCCCTGATTAGCCCTTATTGTGCTCACCTGCCCCTCGTTAACCTGCCCATGTGTTTCTGATTTCCCTGTATATTTATCCCTCCCTCCTTGTGCCAGTCTTTGTCAGATCATTGTTGCTTGTAGTCATTGTTGTTTTGTTCCTGTCATTCCCAGTCCACCATTAAAACCATTTTACTTTTTCTGAAGCCTGCATTTTTACCTCCTGGTCAGCTCTGCCACACATGGTCCGTCATCCACACCCGCAGAACATGACAAAATGATCTGACCAACCTGGACCTGTGGTGAGCTTAACATCTGTTTCTGGACGATTATTTTTTCTTTTTTTCCCTTTCAGCTGAGGGAGATTCTGACGCGAGGGTTTTTCGGCGCATCCTACCTGTTTCCGGGGTGGTCGGACCCATTGAGGGCGTTTCGGCGCTTCCTGTTTGTTCCCGGGGTGGTCAAACCCATTCTCCTCTCCTGCTGTTCTGCCCCGTCCTGTTTTTTTCACGGAAGCTGCTTTTTGATAGAGGTAAATCCCCCTACGCATGCCAACGTTCTCCGGGGTGGTAGGGCTGGTCTTCCTGCTCCGTGTCAGCTTCCCTTCACCCAAGCCTCCGCCTGTTGGATCCAGTTGAGTCATGGTGTGCACCTGCTCAGGACTGTTTGCAGAGTACCTGCTACCGCTCCTGGTTTCCTCGTGTCGCTCCTGCTGTTTCGTCCCACTTCCTGGTCCACGCCTGCAGGGTCTATGCCTGCAGGTCCTTCATGCTGCAGTCTCTGCTGGGTTCCACGCCTGCTGCTGCAGTTCTCTGCTGGGTCCCATGCCTGTTGCTGCAGTCTCTACTGGGTCCCACACCCGGCTGCTGCAAGTCAAGTGTTTCCTGTCCCAGTCAAATGTTCCAAGTTCTCCGAGTCCTGTGTTCTGGTGTTCCCTAGTCTCCTGTGTGATATGGCCTCGTGGGCGTCTGGTATCCACCCCTTGGGGGGGGGGGGGGGGGGGGGTACTGTCACGTTCTGCCCCTGCCTTCCTGACTGTTTCTCTCTCCTGCCCTGATTAGCCCTTATTGTGCTCACCTGCCCCTCGTTAACCTGCCCATGTGTTTCTGATTTCCCTGTATATTTATACCTCCCTCCTTGTGCCAGTCTTTGTCAGATCATTGTTGCTTGTAGTCATTGTTGTTTTGTTCCTGTCGTTCCCAGTCCACCATTAAAACCATTTTACTTTTTCTGAAGCCTGCATTTTTACCTCCTGGTCAGCTCTGCCACACATGGTCCGTCATCCACACCTGCAACATGACACTTTGTAGTCATATCATCTGACATGCGGCCATATGTTTTGGAGACCCGAGTGAAGAGAGGAGCGGAGCTGTCAACTGATCACCACCTGGTGGTGAGTTGGATCAGATGGCAGGGGAAGATCCCGTGTAGACCTGGCAGACCCAAACGCATAGTGAGGGTCTGCTGGGAACGCTTGGCAGAAGAACCTGTCAAGACGGTCTTCAACTCACACCTCCGGCAGAGCTTTGACCGCATCCCGAGAGCAGTGGGGGACAATGAATCCGAGTGGGCCTTGTTCCACTCTGCGATTGTTGAGGCAGCTGTTGCTAGCTGTGGTTGCAAGGTGGCTGGTGCCCGTTGTGGTGGCAACCCCCATACCCACTGGTGGACACCAGAGGTTCGGGGAGCCGTCAGGCTGAAGAAGGAGGCCTACAGGGTATGGCTGGTCTGTGGGTCTCCGGAGGCAGCAGACGGGTACCATATAGCCAAGCGGGGTGCAGCAGTGGCAGTTGCCAAGGCAAAATCTCGGGTGTGGGAGGAGTTTGGTGAGGCCATGGAGAAAGACTATCGATCTGCGCCAAAGAGGTTCTGGCAAACTGTCCGGCGCCTCAGGAGAGGAAGGCAGCAACTCGCTCACACTGTTTACAGTGGGGATGAGGAGCTGCTGACGTCAACTGGGGCTATAGTCAGACGGTGGAAGGAATACTTTGAGGAGCTCCTCAATCCCACCTATGCGCATTCCGAGGAGGAACCAGAGCCGGTAGACCTGGGGATGGACTGTCCAATCTCTGGGGCAGAAGTTGCTGAGGTAGTCAAACAACTACACAGCAGCGGAGCCCCGGGGGTGGATGAGATTCATCCTGGGTATCTCAAGGCTATGGACGTGGTAGGGCTGTCATGGTTGACATGTCTCTGCAACATTGCATGGTCATTGGGGGCAGTTCCTGTGGAGTGGCAGACTGGGGTGGTGGTCCCCATCTTTAAGAAGGGTGACCGGAGGGTGTGCTTCAACTATAAGGGGATCACACTCCTCAGCCTCACTGGAAAGGTCTACTCCAAGGTACTGGAGAGGAGGGTCCGATCGATAGTTGAATCTCAGATTGAGGAGGATCAATGTGGTTTTCGTCCTGGCTGTGGAACTGTGGACCAGCTCTATACCCTTGCAAGGGTGATGGAGGGGGCATGGGAGTTTGCCCAACCAATCCACATGTGTTTTGTGGATTTGGAGAAGGCGCTCCAGGAGTATGGGAAGGGTCGCCTTTTGTTAAGGGCCATTCAGTCCCTTTACCAGAGGAGCGTGAGTTTGGTCCGCATAGCCAGTAGTAAGTCGGACCTATTCCCGGTGAGGGTTGGACTCCGCCAGGGCTGCCCTTTGTCACCGGTATTGTTCATAACCTTTATGGACAGAATTTCTAGGCGCAGCCGTGGTGTGGAGTGTGTCGAGTTTGGTGGCAGGAGAATCTCGTCTCTGCTTTTTGCGGATGATGTGGTCCTCCTAGCTTCATCCAGCTCTGACCTTCAGCTCTTGCTGGGTAGGTTCGTGGCCGAGTGTGAAGCGGCTGGGATGAGGTTCAGCACCTTCTAATCTGAGACCATGGTTCTCGACCGGTTAAGGGTGACTTGCCAACTCCGGGTTGGGAGAGAGGTCCTACCTCAAGTGGAGGAGTTTAAGTATCTCGGGGTCTTGTTCATGAGTGAGGGTAGGAGGGATCGGGAGATCGACAGGCGGATTGGTTTGGCGTCTGCAGTGATGCGGACGCTGAGCCGATCTGTCGTGGTGAAGAGGGAGCTGAACCAGAAAGCCAGGATCTCGAGTTACCGCTTGATCTACGTCCTAATCCTCACCTATGGTCATGAGCTTTGGGTAATGATTGAAAGAACGAGATCGCGGATACAAGCGGCCGAAATGAGTTTCCTCCGTAGGGTGGCCGGGCTCAGCCTTAGAGATAGGGTGAGGAGCTCGGACATTCGGGAGGGACTCGGAGTAGAACTGCTGCTCCTCCGGATTGAAAGGAGCCAGTTGAGGTGGTTTGGGCATCTGGTCAGGATGCCTCCTGGACGCCTCCCTGGGGAGGTCTTTCAGGCATGTCCTGCCAGCAGGAGGCCCCCGGGTCGACCCAGGACACGTTGGAGAGGTTACATCTCCAATCTGGTCCGGGAACGCCTTGGGGTCCTGCCGGAGGAGCTGGTGGAGGTAGCCGGGGAGAGGATGGTCTGGAGCTCCCTAGTTGGGATGCTGCCCCGCGACCCGGATAAGCGGAGGAAGATGACGACCTAAAATGTAGAAGAGATGTGTTGTCATGTTTTTAAAAAAATATATTTTATTTCAGAATTATGAAATAAATAGCAAAAAAGTATGGATAATTTTTTCTATGAGATGCTGATTTTAGTGGAAAATGAATTAAAACCAAACATAAATATCTATAAATATAATTTGAAAACCGCATTGTGTATTTACCCTGGATTCATTTGCCTGGTGTTTTTGCTGATCTGGAACATCTACGTGTGACAAATATACAAAAGCAGAAAAATGACGTTGGAGGGCAAATACTGTTTTACAGCACTGTATCAATACTGAGTTCAGATAAAAGACAGAAACTCCTGTTTTGTGAAGAATGAGTCAGCTGTTAAATGTGCTGAATTGCAAATCAACGCAATAAATCAAAATACCATTCGCTATACTGTACATGATGTCATCAACATCACCATCATTGTATTATATTCAGTCCTATTCCTGATAAGACATGTTTCTGAATAGCATGCCTTTAATGAATCTCCTGATGAAACTGTATTCTAGAGTAATCGGTGGATGCAGGTTACAGCAGTTTGTTCCTCTTTTCCTCTTTATTGGTTCTCTGGTTAATATTGAAATAGTTATGGTTTTATGATCCACGTTTACTAAAATGAACAGAATCATAATTTAAATTTGAACTGAAAGTCTTGATACATATTTGCAATCAACTCATTGCACTTAACGTTGGTTTCAATAAGCATAACCAGCATTAGGGAAGCACTGGTCCAAAGGTCAGGCATTAGTACCCACTCCCATCGTAGTTTATGATACCTCAGTCATTTCAGGAAAGACTGCACCAAGACGAGCAGCAACATGAAGAGCCTGTTGCTTTTAACAACTGTTTTGGCAGCATTTCACATCAGCCACTCCACTCCAGGTACGAATCAGATAATCTAATTTATTCTAATTTCTCTACAATTACAATTAGATTCAAAAACATAAAGAGAAGATGGTTTCACAGGTTTCAGACTAGGTTGGCTAAGCTATCTAATCGGGTTCATGTTTTGTGCAAAAGGTACAATTTTAAAACTGTAGATTCTATTTGGTTCTTTAGTTTCAATGAAACAGGATCAATGGTGGTAAAGTTAAACCATCAGTCATGTCAGTGATCATCCTTATCTGGAAACATGGGGTTTATACATGAGACTGAATAAACAGAATGTATTCTGTACAGAGAAAAACAAGAATAAACTATTTTGCGACATCATGTTTTTCCCTCCAAACAGACATTACAGCAGCATGGCTGCATGTTTGTTTTCGTCTTTAACTCCACGTTGATTTAAAGCTGAAATGATGCTAGTTTATGTTTGTTTACCTTCCTGACAATGAGCTTTATATCCTATTTTCCATGTTTTGCTGACAAGGTTCCCTTTCTAACCTTTTAACTCTGAGATCACTTCTGTCTGAGCCTGAAAAGGCAAGAAAATAATTACAGCGATGCCATTTTAGTACGTTTCAAAACATTTAAGGGACATTTTTAGCAAATTTGTTAAAATGGGAAAAAATACAACACCAAAATCTGATGTGCTCGTGAACAAAGAAAACATCTGTAAGCACTTCCTTTTTAAGAAATACTTTTTATTGTCGTCATAAAAAAGGGAGTGGATTTCTGGCTAGTTAAACATTACTAGTGTGTCTGCTGATGAGTCTTGCTTAAACACATATTATACAGTTTGTAATTTTGTAAACTCCCACCGAAACCACTCTAAACTTTATTTGTATTTGTATTTTTCTTTATCCAACAGATTACTGTAGAGAAGGACCTAATCCAGGTCAAGGCACAAACTTCACCTTTTTCGTTTTCTATGATCACGCCTCTGATCGGTGTAACCCTTTCTTCTACAATGGCGAGGGAGGAAATGGCAACCGTTTTACAAGTGAAAGCGATTGCTTGAGAACCTGTTCACCCAATGCTGAGAATACCTACCCCATGGATGGTGAGAGGGTTTTGACTTGAATAAAGTAGAAAAATGGTTAAATGTAACTTGAAATTTACTCAAAAGGTAAATGAGAATAGAGTTTAAATAAAGGTTCATTCTGTTGATGGACTTTGAAGCTTGACTTGGCTGATAAGACTTTTATGGTCTGAAACACCTCAAGGGAGCAAAATAAAAGCTCCTCACAAGATATTAAGCCCCCAAAAATGTCAAGAAATGTACAAAAAAGTCAAATTTCTGAGCTACTTCATGTAAAATGACAAAAAAAGTGTTCAACTTTTGATTCATTCTGACAGCAACTGTATTGGAAAGCCACCTGTCTGCTTTAAGAGACACCAATGCACCACCAAGTGGTGAAAAGGAAAAAATACTGAAAGCTTTAAATATGTTTGAATAACTAACTCACTGTCTTGCAGAAGTGTGTATGTTTTATGTTCAGACATAGTAAAGAATTTAATTAGCAGCAACTGAATCATTAAATTGATGGTGTTTTTTTCCCCCACAGTCCGCAAAGTTTGCAGATTAAAACACACCACTGGTGAATGTGGTGGCACCTTCTTGAGGTATTACTACGACTCTGTTCATGACAAGTGCAAAAAGTTCCTTTGGACTGGATGTAATGGCAATGGTAACAGGTTTTTTGATGCTGAAAGCTGCAACGCCACCTGTGCCGGGATCCACGGTGAGCACTGATTTCTCTCTGGAAGAAGAACAATCTTTCGTCAGTTGGTTGATGTTTCACTGTTTAGATAGACAAACAAAAAAAAATTCTTTCTTGTTTTGGTTCTAATAGATGATAGAGAGGAAGAGGAAGAGGATGAGCCGGACACTCCAATTGGTCAGTAATAAACAATGACAGAACAGCTCAACTTTTATTACCATAATCTGTTTTTCTTCAGGTTATAATCATAAAACCTCATATATTAGTTCCATTACTCCTAAATCTTCTTTCCCAGCAATCATCTGTGGAGTTTTGCTTGGCGTCATCATTCTTGCTGTCATCATTGCTGTGACTGTCCTCACAATTCAGTCAAAGTAAGCACAATTTTGTGTGTCTTTTCTTTTTTTAATAACAACATGAAGCCATATGATTAATTATAGTTAGAACAAGCATCTTTAAGTGTTAATTGGTCATCCTAGGAACAAGAAGAAGAAGAGCTCGAAGCAGGCACCCAAGGCAAAAACCAATGAGCCCCAGGTGGAGTCACCTCTTCAGGAGAGTGGGATTGAAATGGCATAAATCTCCTGCATCACTGTTTGTGTTTATCTGAAGACCGCATTCAAAGTTCAAATTTTTAAAAAAGATGGTATTTGTGATATATTAGTTTTTAGTTCATTTGCTTTTTCCTCTCTTGTGAGCAGAATGATCTGTTTTATCATACAATTCAATGGCAACATAAAAAGAAGTTAAGAAAAATCGAAAGAAAAACAAACACCACAGTGTCATTTTCTATTTTGTCACAAAAGTTAGGAACGGTTCCACCTAATAATGTTTGTAGTCAAATTGCAGTCATTTTTTAATCATATTTTCTTTTTCTCTGTTTGATATTTCCTAAGAGTAATTTTTCTTTGTATTTTTTGTCCTTATATGTGATTTTTTCTTTTTAGGTAAAACTGTTCAGAGAAACCATTCAGATTCTGTCACATTTATCGCTTTTACATAGGATGTTGTTAGGCTATAAACAGATGCTTTGTTTCCTGACCAGTTTCAGAGCAGGTGCTGTTAAGATTGGCCAAATGTCTATTATTAAAGTATTCTGTGCTGTTTTGGGTGCTTTTATAATGTTTGCATTGCAGCAGGATTGAAACAAATGAGTTTCAATTTGAATTTGTTTCAATAAACAATGCTTGTGTTACGTTTGTGTTTATCCTGACATTCTATGTTAAAGAAAGTAAAGGTTAATATCAGGAGAGGGAGAAAACCACAGCACAGCAGAATGCCATGTAGCTTCTTCTGAGGAGAAAAAAAATATTTAGAGAAAACATAAAGTTAACAGCTGAAATAACAGGAAATAATGCAATTGGAGAGCAGTGGCAGAAGAAAGTAGCAGAGTGCGGAAAGTAGTCAGTATGTCCTCCAGTAGCCTATAGCAGCATAACTACGAAAACTGCTCAGGATATCAAAACCTTTCAGGTGGAGGCATGTGGGAAGCAGGACCAGGGAGAACCATCTTTACTGACTGTATTCCTCGCTGCACACTCTACCTCATTCCCTCACTTATCCACACCTGGGCTAGCATCATTCAGAATGTAACCATAAGTCCTATCACATAAAAACGTTTTAAGTCTAGTCTTAAAAGTAGATACGGTGGCCTCACAGACTAAAGCTGGGAGCTGGTTACACAAGAGAGGAGCCTGATGACTAAAAGATATGCCTCCCTTCCTAGTTTTAGATATTCTAGGACCCAGCAGTAAACCTGCAGTGAGAGTGAATTGCTCCATTAGGATCAAGGAACAATCAGATCAGTGATGGAGCCTTATTATTAAGAGCTTTATAAATGACCATTTCTACCATTTTACAACACATGTCAATAATCTGTTTTCAATATATGGGCAACATAATAGGTAAGGACAATAAAAAAGTGACAAATTGCATAGAAAAATGTCAAAATTAGCATTTTTGTTAAAACTTAAAACTAAATTTAAATAAGTGGCCTGTATTTGATATAGCACTTTCTAGAGTCCTGGAACCCCCCAAGGCACTTTACAACACAATCAGTCATTCACCCATTTACATCCTGGTGGTGATGAGCTACATTGTAGCTACAGCTGCCCTAGGGAACACACAGAGGCGAGTCTGCCGTTCACTGGTGCCACCAGTACCTCCGAACACCACCAGCAGGGTAGGTCACTTAAGTGTCTTGCCCAAGGGCACAATGACAGTGACAGACTGAGCAGGGCTCGAACCTGCAGCCTTCTGCCTTCCAATTACTGGGTGAGCACTTAACTCATGTGCCACCGTCGCCCAAATAAATTAAATTAGAAGTTGAACAACTACCTGAAACAAATTAAATAAAGAAATGGAGGGTTGCTTTTGTTGCAAATGTTATGCAATTATTAGAAGTTATTCTTATTTCATTACTATGTTCTTATATGGGCTGTTTTCAAACGATGCATAGCAAACATTTGACAGCTCGGAATACTGAAAAAAACGGAAGTACTCTAACGTCTTCTTCTGTGGTTTTTCCATCTTTGTATAGCCTAGCCGGCAGAACCTACGTCACTTCCTCAAATTATATCCATTTGTTTGTAGCGAGCGCCAGCAGTTACCTGCTACTATTAACACCAAAAAGAGCGTTTTGGTTTAACCTTAGAGCGTACGTGTAGGCGGAACCAGTTTTCGTTTTGTTTTATGTAAACCCCCACTTAGAAAAAAAATGCTAGCTTCATAGCAGTTACCAAACGCTTTGGCGAGAGCAAAAGCAGGGCAACGTGCGTTCTCGGTCAAAAGTAGTTAGTCGGCTAAGGCTAGCCAGCTAGTTAGATTAATTGGCTAACTATTGTTAGCTGCCCGTCCTTGTTCCGTTAGTATTGTATTGGCAGAGTTTCTTGCTTTTGCTAGCTGATGGAGTGCCCTCATCTGGGCTCTAGCGTAGGCTGTGCCACCGATTCCCCCAGGTTCCCTAACGGTACTCCGTCCTCCTGGTGCTGTAATGGTAAGATGGTGCTGTTTGTCTCGATTTTTCTACTAACTTGACGATAAAATGAACACAGATTATAGTCTGGAGCATTTATGTTGATTCCAGCCTTTGATTAGGCTACTGAGAATTCACTGTTTACATCAGCCTGATAGCACACTGTAGCTACAAGTCAGCACAGCCCGAACCACAAGGGCAAACAGCAAAATACGAGTTATACAGACGATTAAAGAGGCTCGTGTTGTATTTTCAGTTTGTAGGTCTAATAAAAGTCCATGGATCTGCCTCACCTGTCTGATGGTCCATTGTGGGCGGTAAGTTGCTATCTATTTATAGGTGATTATTTTATTTGTCTTTCAGCTGAATAATTGTGAATGAGCATCTGTACATTAGTTATGGTTTAAAACGTCTTCAGAGAACAGTCACAGGTTGGATCTGTGAGGTTTTTGCTAAATGTCAGAGGTCAAAAGGCACTAATTAGAAGTGACTAGTAACTTTCCTTCTGGTTTTGTTTACTTCACAATATGTACACAAATGTTGTCACTGTTATCAAAGGTTAAGCTTTTCAAACTTGGTGTTATTTTTATGTATGTGATAACGTAGTAATTTGATTTTAATTCTCATAATTCATACCTGACACAACTTGTTATTTTATAAGAAATTAATTTGAAAATTTAAAACCTTTGGCCTTTGTAAATGAATACGGGCCTTTTATCTAAGTTTACCTTAAACCTACTGATGAGAATAAAGGAAAATAAGCCAGAAGTTTCAGTTTTTACACTGAACGCTTAAATTAGGTAATTAAACTTTCTGTCACTGATCTGATTACTACTTTTTTATTACCCATATTAGTAACTCAAACAATGCATCAGTTGAAGCACCTCATGATTTATATCTTGAGAGGTGGCACTCTTTATAAAATACTGTTTCTTCTATTTATATCATTGTATATGAAGTATTAACTGTTCATGTATTTTTTTCCTGCTAATTCTTAATGCCTTGTTTACCTTTTATAGATATGTCAACGGACATGCTAAGAAACACTTTGAAGACAGCCAAGGCCTTGGCTTTTGTCAGAAAAAGGGTGACAAGCAGGAAAAGGATAAAAATATTCATTCGGCCTGCATGGACTGTTGTAACCTCAGTGTATTTTGGTGAGTAAGTGCTGTTGTGTGTGTGTGTTGGGGGGTGGATGGGGGAGGGGTGTTAAAATTATCCCAAGGCTTCATGACTGACAGGGGTCTGTTTTTTTTCTCATTCCAAAAAAATCAATATTATGTTGTGGTATGTTAGTTTTTCAAAGGACCCAACATTCATGGTGGCACTGCTGAGTTTCCCTAATAGAAAGAAAAATATCTGAAACATATAGAGCCAAGCAAACAATAGTTTCAACATTTATCAGTTAAAAAACTATTTTTTGGATATGTTGAAACATTTTCTCTGTCTGATAATTGGGACAGTTACTGATCACTACTACTGGTGAGAAGCATGATAGAAAATCTTCTTTGTTTCCTCTCAAGGTGTGTGTGTGTGTGTGTGTGTGTGTGTGTGTGTGTGTGTGTGTGTGTGTGTGTGTGTGTGTGTGTGTGTGTGTGTGTGTGTGTGTGTGTGTGTGTGTGTGTGTGTGTGTGTGTGTGTGTGTGTGTGTGTGTGTGTGTGTTAATGATGCATTTACTAATTCTGATCTTTATAGTTACAAATGTGATGAATTTGTCGTCAACGACACCAAACTCGGGTATGTTCAGAAGTTGAGGGAACATCTTCAGAGATTAGAAAAGTAAGTACTGATAAAAAAAAACAGTCTTTGTATACTTTTGTTTCTTTTAGTTCCTGCTGTGATTTTAATTAATCTTTATCTCCTTACAGTGCGGTCCTTTTGGGTGACCGACAGAGGAAAAGAAAATTCCAGGAAAGCCCAGCTGGGGATGGGAAGTTGTTAAAAGACAATGTATGTAATTTTCAGTTCACTGTTAGCCTGTGATGTTAAGTATTGTCATGCTTTTCTGTAAGACTTCAGAATAAATACACACTTAGATATAATAATTATTGTTTTTTTCTAGGATGAGTTGGCTTTAGGGGCAACTGGCTTGAGGAACCTGGGCAACACTTGCTTCATGAATGCCATTTTGCAGTCCCTCAGGTAAGTCTGCACCAACAACGAGGTATGTGGGTGGTAGACTGGCGTTAGAAATCACATCAGTAGCTCTGGCTCTGTAGACTCAGGGCCACACAACCAGTCATCCTTTATTAATATAGTCTGGGACACAATCACGGGGATTACAGGGGCTGCTTAGAAACAAGGAGCAGCCAGGGCCAGGTTTCACTCCTAGCACACATCTCAACCTTGTTACTATGGTTTTTACTGTGTTTTAACTTTTATATCATGTTTTGTTAACACTTATTAATTAGGGCTGTAGCGAAGCCTCGATGACGTCGACGGCTCGATTCTAAAAATTCGTCGACGTCAGATCCGGTAGTCGACGCACCGCGCCCACTTGTTGCATCCCCAGGAGTTTGTAAATAGAGGTGGAATCTGCCTGTTTTTCCTCTAGTTCGCCCTCTTCTCCGCCTTCACTAACATCTCAGCCAAATACCGAAGACCCGGAACAATGTCCGTCCGCTACTAGGTTCCTTTCCTGTTTTGCCCGCCTTCGTTTCCCGGCAACGGACAACAACTTCCGGGGTCAAATGCGCTGCTCCGTCTCTATAGCAGATGCAGAAAATCACCGGGAGCGTTTCTCCCTTCATAAAGGAGCTTCTTTCAGACATTAGGAGAGCTGTTTTGGTGGTAGCAGTCTCTCCTCCATGCTGGTCTGTTTGCTGCTGGGTGTTTTTGGTTTATTTAAACTTGGCAACTTGAACTTAACGTTGGTAAAGCTTCTGTTAGCATTTTCGCTAACAGCTTCTTGCGTTTGGATAAGCTGTTACGTTTTGGTTTAGAGTTCATCTTTTTCCAATCCAATTTAATTTATAAAGCGCATTCACAAGGCATTACAACCAAACAAGGCGCTGTACACTAGAAATGTTGGTTAATTAAACAAGCGATATTTAAACATGTTGAACACATATAAAAAATAATAATTTGTGGTACAAATTAATAAATGTCTAAATGTAATAAAATCTCCCTTTTATTACATTTAGAGTGTTGTGGGTTTTCGGTTTAGTTTAAAATATCACCTTGAGTTTGGTTTAACCGCCCAGTTTAGAGTTTGGAACTTTGGAGATTCTTGTTTTGGTCCAAAACCCTGTAATCTTTGCCCAGCGGGACATCCCTAGTTATCTGTACTTTTGTTTTAATTCCCCACAGGCAGAATTAGTTTTATTACTCCCAACCTGTGGATGGAAAGATTTGTTTTTTTGTAGTTGTAAATAAACCTGATCATCATTTTAACTTTTAAATCCCACATTATTGTCCCTTCCTTTTTGCACACGAGCCAAACTCCCCAGGAAGAGTCGTAACACCACTCGCCTCACGCTCATAAGTGACCAAAACAAAGCAGCATGGAGACACTCCGTCTCCAACCACCTCTCCGGCAGCAGCCTGCACTCCCAAGTTCTACACGTCACCAGAACATAACCAACCAACACAATAAAAGCAGTGTTATACAAAATGGGAGGCCTGTAGTGTTTATTCTCTTACAGTAACAATTTATCAATTTTTTGGAGGAATTTATTAGAGATTTTTTGGTTTTTATTAACTGTGCAATAGAAAAAGAATCATTAGATTAATTGTATAAATAGTCATTAGAATAGTCGACTATTCGATAAAATAATAGTCAGAATAATCGTTTTAAAATAATCGTTTACCCCCAGCCCTATTATTAATTGAAATGTTTCCATTCCTCTTATTGTCTTACTGACATTAATTGGTGAACCCTACAGAGATGTTTTATATTGAGTGTTGCTTGGGTGAAATTATCCTCATACAACCAACTTGGCTGTCTCCTCAAAGTCATTAGATAATGGATGACATGTAAATACATTCCAACTGTAAAATCTCAAAAGTACTCCATTAGATCACAATCACTGACTTTATTAAGTTATACATACTTGCTAATGCTTCTAAAGTTAACATCTTAAGGAAAATAAATTATCTGTAAAAGAAAAATTATCATTTAAGTTTACTTCATTGATCAGTAGCCCACAGGTGTGATTATGAGGATGGAAACACTTGACCTGGCCCGCAGAGCATTTTTATGTTGCCTGCGAGATAAATATAAAAAATATATTAAAATTGACCTGCTGGCCGATTTCACAGCAAATACAACAACTCCCATGATGCTTTGCGGCGTTAGCGCGGAGCCGAAGCACCCCCTCCTTTGTGTTTTTTCCAGAGTTTGCTGCCGGTGTCTGCAGCTCCGCTGTCTTGGACAAACTAAACACTCCTCTCACTCAGCGCTGAGTTTACTCGGCTATTTGCTGACGTTGAAGCCCAGAAACAGAGATTTTAACCGCTCAGTAATGTGTTCACGACTGAAAGAGAAAGTTTTCCAACTAACTTCCAGAGAGAGCTGATATAACTCCAGCGAGCAGCGACACGCTCAAATCAGCACGACTCTGTGGCTGCAGTAGTTTTTATTTTTCCTCCCCGACACACAACAACGTGGTCCAGCTGCTCAGACATGTTCAGCAGCACAAACCTATGTGAGCACCTGTTGTCATCTAATGTTGACATTATTATGAGGAAGATGAACAAAACAACAGGAGTCTTCTCCTCAGCTCAGAGCTCAACCCCATCATGTAGGTGGAACAGGGGAGCATCACAGTAAATCAGTGGAGCAAACTGAGCTTTAAATATTTTGGTTTCTCTTTTTCTGCTTCAAAACATGAAAGTTAACTGATGAGATGTTGCATTTTCATTTAAAATAAAATGATATTTTTATTTTGTTGTTGGCCCGTGAGAAAAGATTTAACCTACAGTAAACAGGAAGTGGAAAGGCTGCAGATAGATGAATAGAATAGAAAATCCCTTTATTGTTTCTCAGTGGAGAAAGCTAGATGTCGCAGCAAAAAGGAAAATAATAAATAAGAAAAATGAATAAACAACAAGTGTGCCGGCTTGTTCACATACACGAGAGACACGAGCGTTCCTTTTACTGATGTTTAATGCGGTCTTGCATCTTCTTTATCTTTACACCACATGAACACTGTAGAACTAATGAAAAAGCATAAATCATGTACAAATTAACAAGTTAGTTGCCTTAAGTTTGCCAACTTAAAGAGTTTATAAATAAAGAATAAACATACCACTTTGGCCTGCTAGTAGACAAACCGGTAGACTTGAACACACTTAACCTTCTTCTCAAATGTTCTTAATTGGCACAAATTTGTCCGTGCGCATCAATAAAATCTCCGAAGCTACGAGAGACAGGAAGTGACGTCACAGCGGTCTTAAACACTTAAAAATGCTGAATTTACCACAAGTAATGAATACCACTGATGCATTTTATTTAAAATTGACTTGCTAGTGTGTAATTTGGTTATTCCACATTCAGTGTTAATGCAAAAAGAAGTTTGTTTCCAAATGAAAAGGTTCAAAATTGCATATATGTTGATTAAGAAAATGTGCCAATTTGCCGTCACTTTTTCAAAAAATATTAAGTTTGGCCTGCGACTTCGTCCCAGATTTTCTTTTCGGCCCCGTGTGAATTTGAGTTTGATATCCCTGACCTAAAGCATGAAAACTGATGTGACTGAAGGAGAGTTGTAATAGATATTTGATTTTATTAATTACATTTTATTTTATCGTGTGTGTCATGTTAAACCTGCTATAGCGAATCTGCAAACACAATCCCGGAACACTCACCCCTGCCCTCGGGTATCTTCACCAGAACTAAAAATCAACATTGCCAAAGAAAACGAGATAGTGCTAAACACCAGTAACCATTTTCTACATCCAAACGTCTTTTGTTGTCCGTGACTTCAAATTATGTTTTTCTTTTTGGGACTCTGGATGTTTGTCCTAAAGTTAAAGTGGTAGCAGCCGGCTGTTTCTCCCTCTCTGTTATTATTGAGCGGAGAACCTCTCACACCAGTGGTGCTCTGTTGCTAAAAGCGCGAGTGCGGAATGAACGAAGGACCCAGGGAAATGTGGCGATTCATCGAGACAAACAACCGATGGTCCAATAGTTGCTTTTCATCTGAGCCGTGTTATTGGTGGTGGTTTTTAGGAAAAAAAACATTATTATTATTATTATTATTAAATCTCCACAACATATTTATAGCTATATTGTGTTTTGAACGTTGTTAAGAGGCATAAAAATGTTTTTCCAAATTTGCTATAGCAGCTTTAATTGATGTTATAACAAAATGGTCTTCTTTGACAGCAACATTGAGCAGTTCAGCTGTTATTTCAAGGAGCTGCCTGCAGTGGCTCTACGCAGTGGTAAGACGGCAGGAAGAAGGATGTACCACACTCGCAGCCAAGGGGACAGCAGTGTGTAAGGTCCTCTTCTGCATGAATAGATGTGGTTTTAATTTCTGCAAGTAGAAAAAAAATGTGTGTATGTGTTTATGTACACACACACACACACACACACACACACACACACACACACACACACACACACACACACACACACACACACACACACACACACACACCACACACACCTCACACACACACACACACACATTTGTGACTTATTAAAGGCAACACTAACACAAGTGGTAGGATGCTTAGAAATTGTTTAACAAGCTGAGAAATCTGTACCTTAAGTTTACCATTTTAAGGCAACAGAGTGTTTCCAAAGTTTACTTTAGTGTAATAGTTTTACTTTCTGATGCAGGTCGTTAGTGGAGGAGTTCAGGAAAACTCTTTGTTCCCTGTGGCAAGGAAACCAGACCGCCTTCAGTCCAGACTCCTTATTTTACACCATATGGAAGATCATGCCAAGTTTCAGGTAAACCATTACAGCACAAAGACATATTAAAGCTAATAATACTACAAAACTAGACAATTCCAGAAGAATCATTGAAGGAGCCTGCCAGCTGCTGCATGATGAATGCAACAGGAGTGTGATCATACAGAAAAACAAAATGTTGTCAATCGTTCACCTGGCCCCTCACTAGAAGTATCCTGAAGATTTGAAGGGCTCTCGCATTTGCAGCATAATCCCTTACAGAATAAATGCTGCAGAAATTTGGAGACAGTCTTAGCCAATCAGAGCTAGGACGTTCCAGTAGGGAGCTGAAAATTTCAGATACAGGGGTGACAGCAAGGGCAGAAGAGGAAGTCTTAAAAAAAACGGAGAATCAATTAAAAAATCCTCTAGAAAAAGACTACTTCATGTGTGAAAACAAACACAGATGTTGTTAGCACAACATCTTAGCCTTTTTATGTTATGACTTTTAAATATTAGTAATTTTTTATCTCATTTATTTCAATAATCAAACGGGGAGAAATAATGTCATGAAAAGTACTTTACGTTGTCAAGCCTGCAGCACTGAATCAACATGATTAGTCAAGAGGAGACAGTACTAGGGCTGAAGGATTTATTGCATATGCAATTAAATTGCAATGTGACAAAAGAAGATTTTCTAATCGCAAAGGCTGCGATTTGACTGGCATCGAGTGGTTAGCACAATGCTAATATACGTCTAAAAACTCATAGGGATGCTAATGCTAATATCGCCGATTACATTCTTAAAAATTATGATTTAGGAATATGCTAAATGATTACATTTGAAGTCTAATAAAAAGCAAAAACTGCCATCAATCAAATAAGTACAGACAGATACTTTAGTAAAGCCAGAAAACCGTAAGAGACTAAATTCACGGAGTTTTGGCTAGCAGCTATGGATGTAACTGAACTACGGAAGCTCTGCATGGACAAGACCAATAAACGGGACACACTTTTTTCCTGCAAATACATTTTCACAGGTGTTGGTAATACTTATGCTCCTTCAAGGGATGTGCCCTTGGCTGCAAAGCATTGCACCTTCAAATACAAAATTTTGTCTTTACTTGTGAGTGTTTATGTTTATGTAGACTGTGCATGCGTGGGTTCTCTAGGTACTCCGGCTTCCTCCCACAGTCCAAAAACATGACTGTTAGGTTGATTGGTCTGTCTAAATTAGGGCTGCACAATATATCGAAAAATTATCGTCATCGGGATAACAGGACGTGCGATAGGCCCATCTAAAAGCACATCAAAAACGGCGATAAATGTTTGGTTCAAACATTTCCATCCGTGTCATACATCACCTTTTTGTTAACCAGCTCTTTTTTTTACGTGGAAGTATTATTTGACCAATCAAATGTAGTCCTTCTGATATGCGGCCAATCAGATGGGTCCGTTCATGTAATACGCCCGCCCCCTATGTAGACCCTTACGCCGGGGACACACCGGCCGCGGAAGCGCCGCGAAGCGCCGAGAAGCGAATCGCTCACGAAATTCGGCCGCTGCTCGCCACTCCTCAGTTCAGATCAGACGCGCCCCAGTCGAGGCGCGCCTCGGCTCAGCTGTAGTTTTTCTTTTAAACACTTGGTGTCCTCCATTTCCTCTCTGCGCAGCTCTTTTCCTCTACGTTTGAGTGTTTGTACGGTTTGTGCGTGTGTGTGTGTGTGCATGCGTGCGTGCGCGTGTGTGTGTGTGTGAACCTATGGTATGAGTTGTTTCTGCCAGTTGAATCTCTTGGAACCCGCTCCAATTCTGCGGCTGTATCCTAGCAGTTTCTTCCGAAATGGGTACGTAAATAATCATGTTTTTTGGGGGTCGTACAGCTCCTCGTGTTTCTCAACTTCCATAATTAATTTAGAGTCATCCATCCTAACTGCTTGCCTCAGACTTTCTGCCTCTCTGTCCTGTTTGCTCCAGTGAAAAGACACCCAAAACCACACACCCCTTCACGTGGTCACACACGCACACACGTTCGATGTGTGTGTATGTGTGTGTGTGTTCGTGTGGTTTTTCTGCAGTGTGATTACGAACACATTTGACTATTGCGGATTTTTATTTTGAAATGCTTTATTTTGTTAAATTTACCGGCCTGCCTCTTATGTCTAGGTTTGACTTCCTGCCAGAATTGACGCGATTCACCCGCGGCTCGCGAAAAAAATAGAGCCGACGCCGAAATGATCGCTGCATGGCGCGGGCTGGAGCGCCGGCGCAAGGCAATTTGCGGCGCTTCGGCGTCCCATGTGGCCTACAGAATAGCTTAACAAGGGCGCCGAATGAAGGCAGTCCCATTTTCGCTGCGCTTCCGCGGCCGGTGTGTCCCCGGCGTTAGGATGGGTGGAACGCACAACCCAAACAGAGTTAGCGGCGCCGTTCCCTTGTTCGTCATGCTGGCTCAGATTAACGACCGCACTTTGTGCTGAGGTTTCTGGAATGAGTTCTGCTTTCAAACGTGAACGTGAGTGCGCTCGGTGTCGTTAAGCAGCTGATAATAACCGGGCTGACTCCGACACGTGCCGGTGAACCAACCCACCTACCTTCAAGTCGCTAGTGTTCCACCGGGTGGTGATGTTAGCCCCAGGCTCCGGTTAGCTTCCAGCTAAAAGGCTACAGCACTCTCCTCTAGTGTTGTCAAAAAATTGATACCTAGATATAAATCGATGCTAAAAGTGGTATCTAAATTAGATATTCCATCCCTGTGGTATCGATATTATGGACTATCATACACAGATTATACCCAGATGCCGTAAAGCAGCCTCCGCCTCCCAGACAAACAGAAGAAGACGCCGCATGGCTACATTGCAATTTCCCACGCGAGTTGTCTCCGATCCAAGTTTTGTCTGCCAAATAAATAAACAAAAACATAAACAGCGAATTTGGGAGGCGCTTCACAGCCCAACTTAATTAGCATACCAAGTCCAACAGGTAGTTGTATATTCACGCTTATATGCTTAAAGGAAAAATCCCGTTTATTGCAACCCGGACTTAATTTCTAGCATGCAGTACGTTTGTTAACTCACGCTGACAACTTTGGTGCTACTTGGATTCCCCGGGGTATTTAGATCCATCAGCGAATCGCCATCAGTGTATATCCATATAACGGGTGCGGACGGGCACCCATGGTGCAGCCTCAAAATAAGACATTATCTGCACCAAAACATCTCAATGTCGAAAGGTTTTGTTAGGAATCATTAACATGATTCCCCTGTTCGTTTGGAGTGAGTCTGGGATTTCTTGGCGTGAACAGACTAGCCGCGGCTAATCTAACTGGTGCTTTTAATGACGTCACTGCCGTGTGCCAATCTGTTTTTATTAAGATTACCGGTAGATGTACCTTTGTCCTACTGTGGAGAAATTCGTTTTCTCCCTTTATTGACCAACAGAGTTGTTCAAAAGTACAGAACAAAACATTTGGCATTACATCTTATGACAAAAATGCACCTTAAACAGAGTTTAAGCAGCAAAACATCACTCTGCAAATAGTGTGTATATAGTGAGACAATTCATGATTAAAGTGTTAACTTTCGCCAGTTTTTGTATGCACTTTTAAAAAAATGCTGATACTTGAAAGGTTGAAGCACTTTACACACTTAAAAAAATAACATTCCTCAATTTATATTGCAAAAATTAAATGTTAAGAATTAATAAACTTGTTCAATAAATTGGTGTTTTTAAATAGTATCGAAATCGAGTATCGAGTTTTTTTTCTTCCCGTATCGAATCGAGTTTGAAATTTTAGTATCGTGACAACCCTACTCTCCTCCCAGTCCCACCCTGCTAAAGAGGGCCTGGAAAAGTTCCCCCACACATCAAAGTGATTTTTCATTCATGAGCTTTTATAACCTTGTAAATCAGGATAGTTGATTTGTGCAGGATACTGGTTGTGCAGTGGTTGTGCAGCGCACCAGGCTAAAGACCAAAGGTGACAGATCATTTGCTGCTGTGGCCCCCAGATTCTGGAACTCTCTCCCCCTGGGCCTGAGATTAGGGATGCACCGATGGATCGGCATTTGATCGTAATCGGCCGATAGCGCCCCTATCGGTTTTGATCGGAATTTTCAAAATAGATCAAAGCAGACCGATCAGCCGTAGGGTTGTCACAGTAACCAGTGTAGCGGTAAACCCCGGTAAAAAAAAAGTTGACAATAATAACCGTCTTGTTTTTTTAAAAACTATATTATCTTGGTGGGTTTACCGTGGCTGCGGTGTAGGCGCGGTGACCCTTACCAGCCACCGTATCATCGGCTGAAGTTGCCGGCGGCACATGCACGCTTTGTTGTTTACGACCAAAACATTCATGAAGCTAAAGCTGAAATAATGGTCAAAGGAGGAGACGGCAGCGCTCAGGAGGACATTTTTTATCCCTCAAAGAAGACAAAGTCGGAAGTACGGGCATATTTTAGATATTTGAAGAATGCCGAGGGAGTTTATAGAAGGCGGCTATCCTGTTTGCAGCACTGCAGAAAAAGTGTCTGTGAAAGGCAGCAACGCTTCAAATCTCATCACACATCTGCGTGACCATCACCCACAACTCTACAGTCAACGCAAGGCAAGCTAACGTTAGCGTTTTAGCTAAAATGCGTGATCCGAGGATTTGGGTTGAGGGAGAATGCAACGAGTTGATATATAAAGCAGCCGCAACGCCGCTACCTGCATTTACACCATGTCGCGGACACCCCCATGTTGAAATGACGCTATGCATTACGGGTCTCCCAGGGGCAGATAAGAGTTGGTCTCTCTCCGAGAATAATTATGAATTTAACAAAGATTACTGCCTGATGACATTTTCCCAAATCTGCAAAGCTCACTGGAAGGACACAAACTGAGGACAATATTTTCCTGATATAGGGTTTATTACTCAAGTAAGGGTAAAAAAAAAGTATCTGATTAGAAGGCTACTTGAGTACTGAGTATCATCTGATCTAATATTTTTAAATGATGACATCAAACAGACATGAAATAAGAAGTTATGGGCAAATATTGGTATTTTAAAGACTAAAGGGAAAAAATGTAAACGAATAAACAACATAATTACAAAATAACACATTTTAGGCAAAATTTAGACACAAACTGAGGACAATATTTCCTGACGTACAGGGTTTATTTAATTGTGTGAAAATGTAGCACGTTTAAAAAAAATACCGCGATAATCCCGAAAACCGTGGTAATTTTGGTCACAATAACCGTGAGGTTAAATTTTCACACCGTGACAACCCTAATACAGACCATTTTAGATTAGGTTACATTTCCTTTATTCCCAGATTATGTAGTTTGTAGCACTCATCATAATGTTGTTGAAAATTTCTGGCCAATCCACGTGATCGGTATCGGTGATCAGCATTCTTTGATATCGGTATCGTGATCGGCAGCAAAAACCTGATCGGTGTATCCCTACCTGAGATCAGTGGACTCAGTGAACTCCTTCAAAAAGCAGCTGAAGACTCACTTGTTCAAGCTGGCTTTTGTATGACCTTCATCACAACTCTCTCTTTATTCTGCTCTCCCCACCTATTCCACCTTCCTCAGGATCCACTGATTTCCCTCTTTCCTATTCACTCTCTCATTCTGAACATGTTTTTTAATCACAATTGTCTATTTTTGCTCATTTTAAATATATTTGTAAACATTTTCTAAATGCTTTTTTATATTTTTACATTTTTTTGTTTTTGTGAAGCGCCTCGTGATTTTTATCTTGAGAGGCGCTATAGAAATGATATTTTCTTCTTCTTCTTCTTCTTGATTTGCTGCTGCACATAAACTGTCAGTCAGAAGCTCTGCTAGCCGGTTATCTTAGTTCAATTTGTTAGCTTGTTATCAGAATCATAGTTGCAGTTTCATCATCTGAGCTGCTTTTTAAGATCTAGGTAAACTTGTTCAATTTGGGGTTATAAACAAACGTTTTCACATATTTTCCATGTAGTTTTTTTGCCAGTTCCTCTTCTGAAAGGTTTTCTCTTTCCCTCAGAAAATCTTAATATTCTCCTAGTTTGGCCCACCACAGTTCACTTCCCAGTTATAGCAACAGCCTTATATCATAACCACATAAGTGGAGAAAATGTTCAGTAGCAATGAGAGAATTTGCTGTTGCATTTAAGTGATGTTAACTATTATTTAACATTTAAACTTATTTTCTGATATTTTTATTTATTCAGAAAACCCTGGTAAGGGATGTTTTTCTGTATTTGGAGCATCAGAAAAAGTTTTACAGTGGTGGTGATGTTTTAAAGTCACTGAGAAACTGCATGCATGCAGTTTGTTGTTTTGCTGCTAATACAGTAGCAGGTGCAGCTGCATATTTTTGCAATAAAAATGTTATGTTGTACTGGAATTCATGCATTAGTTTTTGTTTGCTTTGAACCCAGAGCAGACGTCACACACCAGATGACATCAACACCGCATACTTTAGTATTTGTTCATTTATCGAAAATAATATCGATATCGCAATATTAAGCACTGTTATCGAATATCGCAGGTTTTCCTAATATTGTGCAGCCCTAGTATAAATTGTGTGTGTGTGTGTGTGTGTGTGTGTGTGTGTGCGCGCGCGTGTGTGTGTGCGTGCGCATGCGCGTGCGTGTGCGTGTGCGTGCGTGCATCATTGTTCGTCCTGTGTGTCTCTGTGTTGCCCTGCGATGGACTGGCACTCAGTCTCTAGTGTACCCTGCCTGATTGCCCCTTGACCACTGGAGATAGGCAACCAGCCCCCGACGACCCTGCATGGACAAGCAGGTTCAGAAAATGGATGGATGTAGACAAATAAACTTGTAGATATGATATGTAGATAAATATGTAGATGCATAAACTTGTTTATATTCAGTTCAAGGTACATAGATTTATTTTTTGCTTCCGTTATTTGAAAAATATGAGAAAAGCTCCTTGAGAAAATAATTATGACTTAAATCACAATTGCAATATTGAAGAAAATAATCGCAATTAGATAACTTTCCAGAATCGTTCAGCCCTAGACGTTACACATCGATTTTCCTGGCAAAGCCATGGCATGCTCTTTATCCCTGTGTACTTCAGGGGCTTACCCCCCAATTAATAGTTTCCTTTTCAAATGCAGTTCCTGTTGATTTAAAGCTGTGTATGTTCACACAGAGGCTATCAGCAGCAGGATGCTCATGAGTTCATGCGTTACCTGCTAGACCATCTCCACAGGGAGCTCCAATACAGCCGTAACGGGGCGTTTCACCCAGTCTCCCCTCAGGACAGGGAGAGACTTTCCTCCACTGATGGGAAATGCTGCATGTGAGTTGTTCACTGTTACTCAGTGGTATTCTCTCTTTCTTTGTGTCAACACTTGTTGCACTGATTCAAGGCGTAGGGTTAGTTTTGTGTAAAATCTGATGCATTTGTTTTTCTGTTGACTGAAATGCCCTTTAGACAATAAACACAAACTGTCTATGTGATTACTTCACAGAAATGGGCCTGCCAGTGTCGTCACGTCTATTTTTGGCGGCATACTTCAGAACGAAGTCAACTGCCTGATATGTGGGACAGAGTCTCGGAAGTTCGATCCGTTTCTTGGTAAGAAAACGTGCTTTATGGAAAGTTAAAGAAGCTTGGTGTATTTTTTGTGTACAAAATCACATATAGCTTAAAGTTTTGTCTCCATTCATGTGGATTCAGGTTGTGAACTTTCTGAAGCTTTGAGCGTAAAGCTTGAAACTGAATATTTTCTTTTTCTTTTATTCAGATCTGTCTTTAGACATTCCCAGTCAGTTCAGACAAAAGAGAAGTAAGGACCAGGAGCCAGGCCTGACGTGTACTTTACGTGGTAGGTTTTCTACTGTTAAGGGGAATGTTCCAAGCTCTTTTTATCACTGAAAACACAAAATTATGTGATTAATGGAGATTATCTGATTTAACATTGGTTTCAGACTGCTTACGTAGCTTCACTGACCTGGAAGAACTTGATGAAACAGAGCTGTATTATTGCCACAAGTGTAAAAAACGCCAGAAGTCAACTAAGAAGTTCTGGGTCCAGAAGCTGCCAAAAGTAGGATCAAGAAAAATGTCATTCCATTGAAACTTTTTTCACATAACTAGCATGTTTTCATTTAGCAGGTTTTGTGCCTGCATCTGAAACGATTCCACTGGACGGCGTTTTTGAGAAACAAGGTGGACACTTATGTGGAGTTTCCTCTGAAGGGTCTAGACATGAGGGGGTACTTACTGGAGGTGAGTAACGAGTGTCTTACACTCTTTAGTGTCAACACTTGTTGTTGTACCATGTGTCGGTGTAGAGGTGTTATTCAGTATCTGACTCTTGTAATTGTGTCCTTGTGTCCAACCAGCTGCAAAAGCGTCCAGCTCAGGTTTCCATGACTTGGCGAGTCTTCATGACCGATGAGTCATATATTTGTTTGATTATTTGCTGAGCAGTTGTTTATTGTTCCATGTTAAAGCAGGCGTGGACCCTGCTAACAGCATCACATGTGATAGATCAAAGTTCCTGCTTGGTCAGCAGGTATCCATGTGAAGCAGTTTTGATTTTTTTTTAACAATCTGAAGACATTTTTTGGGGAAAAGCAAAACCCTCCAGAATATGTTAATGTTGTTAAAAGAACATTGGAGACACGTATAGGGATGAAGGGAGGATCAGTTATAGTTGTTATTGAAGTACTATGTTTAGTGTTGCCATTTTAAGGATTTACTGTTAAAACTAGGGATGCTCCGATCCGATCACGTGATCGGAAATCAGATCATTTCATGACTTTCAGGAAATTGAAATCAGGTGGTGGTGGTGGTGGTGGTGGGGGGGGGGGGATCAGATTTAACCATTTAAAACAACAAACATTACTTTATAATTCATCCTAAGAAAGACATTTTCAAACAGAATAACAATGGCGTGGTTTTAAATTCAACAAGTTCCTCTACATCAGTATTCTTTGTTCACAGACAACTGCAAAGCCCACGACTTAAGGTAGCCCGGGAATTCACACTCCATAACAAGTAGCTGTTCGCTATCACAGAGCATTGTTGTTACCTCAATAGAGAGAAAATGTCTGTAATTTGATGTAAAACAAACAGCAAAGGGAGTATAATAGACTCTTATGATGTGTGTGCAAACTGGGCATTTAACATGGTGGAAAAGGTAGTGCTGCATTCAACACTATGAATCTGATGCACCACCTTAAAAAATACTAACCCTGTGCAACAATTTGGATAAGCCAGCCGACACGAATAAAAGATGTGTTAAGAAAAAAGAAAATGTCTACGGACAGCAAAAAAGCCCAGATAGCTGAATATTTATCACACTGGGTGAGTCTGTGGTTGCAAACGTTTGGTTTTGAAACCTCTTTGAGTCGCGGTATGATCTGCTTTCTCTTCCTACTTTTACAGACGCAGCAGCTCTTTGGGTGTTTTGTAGAAAAGAGCGACCCTGCTGCTGACAGTCATGTGCCATACCATTCCTGTCGCTGAAGATGGCCAATCAGTAAACAATGTGTAATATGAGCGACAACGAGGCTAATTTTACATTTATTCTTAAACATTAACATGTTTCTTACTGATGTACTTCCTAAACAAGTGATGTTTTATGGCAAATAAATGAAAGAAATGACAAATACAGAAATAAAGAAACGTATTAATGATTACAAAAATTAAAGGACCTCCCTAGTGTGTTCTCCTTTTTTCTCAATGCGTTTTTAAAGTATGGGATTAGGACTCCATATCGGCAGATTCTTAAAATCAAATGAATCGGATCGGGAGCAAAACAACGTGATCAGAACGTCCCTAGTTTGAACTGTATTTGATGACTGCTCTATTTAAATGTGAGGGCTGGATGGTGAAGCTGAGGTGAGGAGGGAAATGTTTCTCTTCTGCATCTGATTATCTTACAATCTGAAAAAAAAAACGTTTAGATCGGTTTTACTTGTTGTGACTGACTTTTGCTGTAGTAACTAGGGGTGATGGGTTGCACTTACTTGCTAAAACAAACAAGACCATTTGGTTTAGTCAGTTGGATTATCATCTTTAAAGTCCTGACAACATAAATTGCTTAACTTCAAAGAATCTAATAAATAAATAATAACTTAGTTTTTGAAGGTCATAGAAGTAAATATATAAAATGTTAGTGATCCAGTCAGAACTGTTTTCATCCTGCAGAGCCTGCTACAGTGTAGGATTTGATACCCAATGAAAAAGATGTCTTATGCTATTACTAATGATTAAGCTGGAAAACCCTAAATGGCCGTTGGTTGTTCTGGCATTGGTACAATACTTTATCTTTTATTTCTAATATATAAAATGAACATTGAGCTTTTTATTTTAATGTTTGCAGCCGGAGAACTCATTACCAGGGAGCTGCCTGTATGATCTCGTTGCTGTCGTGGTGCATCACGGGTCTGGGTGAGGAGGTGTTTTGCATCTTTCAGCTGCAACTTTGTAATGTTTTTATTTTTTAAGATGAAAAAAGGGTCAAAGTTGCTGCAATGTAAAGATTTTCTTTGGTTAGGCATTGAAATAAAATAATATAAATAATTGATTCACTTGTTTTTGCCTAAGCATTAAAGGGACTATAAGGAAGTTTGACAGTCAAAACATGTATAGAAATAATACATTTCTTCTTCATACATTCTCCTGCAATGCGCTGGTCCCGTAGAATGAGCCCTGGCATTTTTACTGTGATTGCCTTTTTTCTCTGTAAAATCACAGAAAAAGAGAGTTGCTCGGGTCGAGCAGGCTGCTTCATGCGTGTTCACGCTCAGGCATAGCCCGTAGCATTTGCTATCAGTAGCTTTAGCAGCAGATAGAGAGTCAGTGCCAACTCAGTGACTTTGTCGCTATTCCTAACGCCTAGTGATGAACCTAGCTACAATTCTGAGGACCCTTAGCTACTTTCTGTAGAACTTTCTTCTAGATATTTCCTGCAAATTAGCAACAAAATAGCCATTTTCGCTCCGAACCGTTTGTTGGATTGACGTTGTTTCAGCTGTCATCAAGGATATAAATGTTACAGATAGACTGAACATCACTGGCGCTTTAGCTCACCTGGTAAGGTGTCTGACTTTCTTGCAGAAGACCTGGGTTCGACTCCAGTTATGGACATAATTTGTCATTTTGAGTTTCTTTTTTACATTAATGGTGTATTTTTTTACAGTAAGATGCCCAAATTTTTATTTGAGACTCGCCAAACTGCATCACGGATAAAAAGATGTGGGTTCAACTTTCATTTTGGAACAATTTTTCAAGCAAGGGAAGGGAATGATCTGAGCATGTAGGAGGACTGACCCATCATAAACCTTTGTCGGCTGTGCTGAAGAGAAAGGTACAGAACCAAATTATTTAATGAATTAGCTGTGTGTTCTCCTGTCCTCTGTCCTCTGGGCCACACACACACACACAGGACTGTCTCAGCTGTTATTTCGTTAAGGAGTGTAGAATGAGCCCTGGCATTTTAACTGCTTGTTGATTCATTTCTGTTCCACCTCAGTTACATTTGTGATGTCACATGGAGTGTACAGCGTGCACACCTCATGCACGAGCTTACTTTTGAAGCTGCAGTTAGGCGTTAGGCCTGAGTGGCGATCGGGAGCATAAAAACTTCAAACTTCCTTACAGTCCCTTTAATTATAGTATTTATTTGATGAGAACAGCTGCTTCGTTTTGCAGCGACTTGCCATGCTAAAGCTGTTTTAGGGGAAGAAGGTTAAGCACTCAGGTGCATTTAATTACAGGTCCGTTATTTAACAGTGGCTGTGATTGTAGTTTGAGTTGTCAGCCACTGTTGAAATATCTCAGACATGTTTATCCCCCAAAGCTTTAAGATTCATGTGATGAAACAGTATTTAAAAGCATGAAAATGAGTTTTTGCAGAATTAAACATTCAGAGTTGCACTGTTAGCTTTGACCTCTAGGTGGTGGTGTTGTTCTTTATTTGTGGCATTTCTTTTGCTCTAAGCCAGAAGGTGTGTGTGTGTGTGTGTGTGTGTGTGTGTGTGTGTGTGTGTGTGTGTGTGTGTGTGTGTGTGTGTGTGTGTGTGTGTGTGTGTGTGTGTGTGTGTGTGTGTGTGTGTGTGTGTGTGTGTGTGTGTGTGTGTGTGTGTGTGTGTGTGTGTGTGTGTGTGTGTGTGTGTGTGTGTGTGTGTGTGTGTGTGTGTGTGTGTGTGTGTGTGTGTGTGTGTGTGTGTGTGTGTGTGTGTGTGTGTGTTTACAGGGTTGGATCAGGGCATTATACAGCATACGGCAGCCATGAGGGCCACTGGTACCACTTCAACGACAGCACGGTGACTCTGACCAATGAAGACACAGTGAGGAAGGCCAAGGCCTACATCCTCTTCTACGTGGTGAGGGTCGGTCAAGTGGACGCGGACGAGACCACCGACAGCATGGCAGCGGAAACGCTGGATGTGGACGCAGCAGCCATGGACAGCGTTCAGTCAGAACAAGTTTCTCAGGACAGCGCCCCAGCTGATGCCACAGAGACGGCTTTGATGGATGGGGCGCCCACACAAACGAACGCCGCGCATGAAAAATCCCTGAGAAACACAGCCGTTAATACAGCGGAGGTAAACGAGGCAGACACCGTGTTAGAGGAGGTCGTGACAGTCAGAGATACTGGAACAGAAGAAGTTCTCCAATCTGTCCCACCTGCTGCACCGTGACTCTGTCAGGGCTTCAAACGAGCTTGTTGATTCATTTCTGTTCCACCTCAGTTACATTTGTGATGTCACAAGCTTGATTATTTAAGTGATGACCTTTCCCATTTAATGTATGCATCTCTCCCGTTTAGGACACTTTGGAAATCCTCATGTTTGACTGGCTGCTTTATTTTGTACGTGTCTTGGTTTTCTTTGTGTATTTCTCCACTGAGAGATGTCTGTGTGTGTGTAGTAGACTTCTTTAAAGTGAAGATGTGTGTGATGAGTGTCATGGTGACACAATTTGGCATTTTATTGTTTTCTGTATATTTCTTTTAATTATTTTCTATTTCCCCCCTTTTTAACATGTTGTATATTTCTGTTTTTCAGTCGTTCTGTGATTTTAGTGTTTATTTTCTGGAACATTTGCTTATTTGGGCTTTTAGAAAGCCAACAAATTGTTTTAAAGATCAGAGCATCTCAAAAGCATTCTGTCTGTGTTGGTGGTGAGCGATCACTTCTTACATTTCAAGTAAAATTGACTGTTTTGGGACCCAATGACTTTAAAAATGTACCAGCCAATGTGGCTGTATGAGAAAACAATGAAAACTTCCTGATTCGTACTTGTGTTGCTTTGTTTTGATTGGTTTTTTTAATTCTGTCTTCAGGATCAACCAATAATGGGTTTTTGAAGCTTTAATGTTTTTAACTGAGAAGCTCAGAGTCAGAAATGTTTCTGATCTAAAAAGGCTCTTAAAGAACGCTGGAGACCTTTTTTCTCTCTCCGCTGCTCGTCTGGCCTTCAGCTACGATCCACCCACACCCAGGCACACATGCACATCCAGCTCCCTTCACTCACGTGCCAACCCCTCTCCCTCCAGCCAGAACAAGCCCTCCTGTATGTGGAAGAACAGCTGCTCTTCATCACCAGCTCACAGGTGGCTGTGAGCTCCACACTCTGCGCCCCGTTAGTGACACAAGTGGCCTTTTTTTCCTTCTCGTAGAAACCAGAATCTCACTCGTTGTTTTGTTTTCGTTGGATTGGAGGTCTGCTTGGGAACACCGCAACACTCTGAGTCAAATTGTAATCACTGGCACTTCCTATCTGGATTTTTAGTTTTATTCCCCCTTTATAAGGTTGATGAGCTGAACAGGACATTCTCGGGTAGTAAAGTGGTGACACGTGCAGCAGGCTTATGATATTCTGCCATCAGCACATCCTCTGCTCCTGTTGGGCAAACACGCTGAGTCATAGTTTACTGTTGCTTCTGACAAAGTCCTACGTAATGTTTCTGTGTGCTTGTGACATTGAATCACATGTCGAACATTCCAGATCGGGGCCGGGAAGTTATTTTGTCTGGATTGTCTGAAATCTGACACCATCTGCTGCTCTGAAAGCGGCTCATTGATGATTTTTATGAAACCCATGTAAAGCAGCTCTAATTCTGTAGACATCTTTAAACAGTTTAATAGCTAAAAATCCCCACAATGGACAATTTACCTCAGTTAACAAGTAACAGTCTAGAATCATGTTTTTTATTCTCCCGTTGAATCGGCTTGTGAAGATGGCTACATTTTTTATTTTTTTTCTAAATCAAAACTAAAAAAAATCTTTTTTTAACATCTGTAGCAGAAACTGTATTTTTAATTAAAAAGACAGGCATAAAAATCTGACATTTGTTCTGATCTCAGAGGCACTTTGAGAATACGAAGTTTCATATGTGGCCACATGGATTAAAGTTAGCTGTGTTAACGAATTTTTCAGTTATGACCTCATGAGTTCCTAAACTTGGAGGATGACTGATTAAACGGCAGATGACCTCACATGTTCACGGATTAGTGACTAATAAGAGTGATTGTATGGTCGGGAGTTCATAAGTATTTAATTATGGAAAAAAGCAGAAAGTAATTTTTGAAATCCAAAATGTTTGAGATTTATCAACCAGTTCAACATAATTCGTTGTTGAATCAAACTTTTATGTGTGTATTAACAGATTTTTCTAAATATTGACCCTTTTTTGCATCATTTTTGAACGTACAACATGTGCTTTTCAAACTTTCACTGAACCTTTTAATTAGGAGTAATACATGCACGTTGGAGGTGTTCCTCACTAGTGTGTGTGTGTGTGAGTGAGTAAAGTAGGCCAGGACAGTGTAAACATCTGGCTCAGTCCAGCGCTTGCTGCCTGTTGAAAGCCGTGACAGATGGCAGGGGAGCGGATGGGTCAGACACTTCCATCTTTTAACGTATCACAGTTGTCTTCCTAAAATAGCCTCCACTCCACCTCCTTATATGTGCAGGCCTTCAGCGTGTGTGTGTGTGTGTGTGTGCACGCCTGAGGGGGCATCATGTATCTAGGCCACACAATACAGGCTGGGTGTTCATTGTTGCAGCCTTCCAGCGGGTCTGTGCGCCCCAGGGACGAGGCCTCTTCAGCATGCATCTCACTCAGCTCAACCGTGAGTGTCTCCTCCACCTTTTCTCCTTCCTGGACAAGGACAGCCGCAGGAGTTTGTCCCTAACCTGTCGTCAGCTGCGGGAGGTCTTCCTGGACCCCTGCCTTTGGAATCTACTCCACTTCAGCTCACCGTGCCAGCTCAGGAAGGACAACTTTGTGCTGGGACCCTCACTGCGCTATCTGACCATTTGCTGGTACTCCAGCAGGGTCCTGCAGGTGTGCAACATAGAGGACTGGTTGAAGAGCTCGTTCCAGAAGGACATCTGCAGCAAACATGAGAGCCTGGTCAGCAATTTCCTGGCTCAGGTCTGCCACATGTGAGTGTCAGTGTGTGGTTTCTGGTTTTGGACAGCAGGAAAGAATTTGTTTTCTCTTGATGAAGCAGAGCGTGGACAGCTTCCTGCAATATAAACAGCACCTGTCTGCCTTTTGAGTTTGTTTCATTAAAACATTTCTAAATGATGTTTCAAAAATACCTTTAGTTGGTGATAATGATTTGGCGTCTTTCAGGGTCACTTGAGACCTCATCAGTGAGGGGAAAAAAACAAGTTTTCATTTGGAAGCACATGTTTTAAGTCCAGCTGCCATGTTTAGCTGTCGGTAGCGGGGAACAAAATCATCAGAAACAGATGGTGGGTCTGGATCCTGCTGCTGGGAGAGACCAAAGAAATGACACATCTGTGGGACATGAGACTAATTCTATTAACTAACACAACTCTGGACTCCTATCAAGTGAAATTCACTGAGTGACGTGACACTCTGGGTTTGATCTGTCCCTGAATCTGGGCTCTTTGGGCTTCTGCTGCTGCAGGATTCGTGCAGGACTCAATCCAGAGAGGCCTAATGAGAGACTCTGGGACATTTCTTCATAATAAGTGCTGATGTGAGGGAGCTCAGCCAGGTCAAAACTAAACAAAAAAGGGAGGGGAGGGGGGGGGGGGGGTTCTAGCTTTGTGGGACAATGAGCTTTTCTTGTGTTGTGAAATCTGAGATTCAAGACACGAGAGCTGAGAGATGAGTCGAAACCAGAACCACCTACTTTTGTCCAGGGCTTGCATTTCAACGCCTTTTAGGGCTCATTCTCTTGCATGCTGATAAACCCTCCCTCTGCGTCTGCAAGAGAGAGGAAAGGTGCACGTGACGGGGTGGGAGGGCCCACAGAGAAGCTGTGGGAGTGATAAAGAGCGATTTGGCCACAGACGCTCCCAGTCAGCTGCACACTGAAGATTTATGCAGGCAAGGTGGAGCCTAAGAATCGGCTCTTTGTAGCTGTTTGAGGAATGAACATGTGTGTCTGTCTCTGCCTGCCTCTTCTACTCTGACGCCAAGCACGTCTGCCTTTACCTTCATGGAAAAACCAGTAAAACCTATAGCACGTCAATGGACTCCATTATGGTGCTGTTGTGAAACGTCTAGATCCCTCCCTCATCCAGAACCCAGGATTAAAAAGAACATGCATGAAGAGAAAAACAACCAAGTGACCAGTCTGTGGTACATAGTTGGTTTATAATTAAATATTGCTGAGGGGCATCAGTCAGGGCCTTATCTGCATGAACTGAAGCTTTTTCTTGCTAAATCAGTTTCTAATTGAGTAATAGTTTCTCCTGCTGTGGACATATTTTAGATTTTAGCTAGTTGTGGAAATAAAAGGACAAAGTTCCATTATAAAGATTTGATGTCTTTAAAGGACATCCTGAAAAGACAAGATGTTCAGGGACTAGCGGGATGATGACAGGTGTGTGTTAGTGAGATCAGAGTGACCTGTAAGCTTTAGGTTTGTGTGTAAACTACATCATGTCTGAAACGTGACCAAAGGAAGGAATGATGCAGATGTTTGTGAGGTTTCAAACTAACAGCCAATTAAAAAAACACTTTTGACAATCCTTACATTTAAACATCTATGAGGTTTTTGGAGGGGGTCATATGTGACATATACTCTGTGTCGTTACTTATTTATGTAGCTTCACGATTAAAACATACAGTCATCAAAATGTAACAAGGAAGCAAAAGTGAGCTGTGATTCTTGGCAACGGAAATGTCAAGAAATAAAAAATCAGATTTAATTTTATCCAACGAGAAAAGGGCAAAGGTGCAATTAACACACTCAAAACTGACTTGTCTTGTAATATATGTGCACACACTTGTGTTGTTTTAAATTTTGTCTACACTTTACAATAAGGGTCCCTTTATTAACGTTACTTAGTGCGTTATTAAACATTAATAAACAAAGGATCCCATGTTACCATTGTTGTTAACTACTAAGTGTCCTTAAGGTTGGGACAATGGAGTCTGCTTAGTAATGCATTATATAATACAGTTAAGCAGTTGTTATTACTCTATTAAATAGTCTATTAATGCTTAACAATGCACTAATTAACATTAATAAAGGGACCCTCATTGTAAAGTGTTAACAATATTTTTAAGTACTCTAAAATAATCAGATGAGAACATTTTTAAAAATTTTAAAATGTAAAAGATAAAAATGATCTTTTTTTACAGCTGAAAGGGGAACTCAAGTGTTCAGATGTCTGAATGTGAGTTTCAGCTCTACGTTTGAGTTCAGTTATAGCAAAATGTTACCTAACAGGTGGGTGATTGGATTGTTTTATTTTTAAAAGATGACGGGGACATTTTCAAGCTTTCAAATCTTTAATGTCTTATCACTTGTAAGTCGCTTTGGACAAAAGCGTCTGCTAAATACATAAACATGAACAAATGCGGTCATTAATTATAATGAGAAGCCTGCCTCATGTTTTTTATTAGCATCTGATTCAAATAAAAGTTTCATCTACATGTGGAATGTATTAACCCTCTGGAGTCGGTGGTATAATTTGCCGTTTTGACAAGTTTTAGTGTTCACCTTTATATTTGACACTATAGTTTATTGTTTATGCCGTGTTTGGTATCATTCTTTTCAGCACAACCTCACCTTTGTGAACTTAGAGTCATTTTGTCAGACTGTGTTAGCACATTGAACCTAAAAGTACACAAAAAAACGACATATTTATTGCAGTGAAAAACACAAACATTTGTTATGAACCATTTTCAGTACTCAGAATTAAACTACGGGGTGTGAGTAAAAACCAAAACGCTCAAGTTTAGCAAATAACTGTTAAATGCAAGTTGTTTGCATGAAATATGCCTCAGGCGTGGAGTTCCACATGCCTACTTCTGCCACTTCCAAAAACGTCCAGCAGAAAACAGGATAAAGTTTAGCAAACCACTAAATGATATACATATATTTTCAAACAAAGTGTCATGACCAGAAGCCACAGTTTCTATGTGCCAAGCCTCAAAGTAACACACGGGACCATCAGAGCTTTACAAATCCAGTGGGTGTCCTTCCTGACTTTGTCCACCTGGCAGCAGCAATGGGCACACGCCCTGATGCAGAAATCCTTCCCTGCCTGCGCCTAGCAACTATTTGCACATGATTTTGTGATTGGGTGAAGTGGTTCGTATCTCATCCTATAAGATAAGTTCGGTCTTGTTTTTCTTCCTGACCCTCCTAGCTTACAGCGTGTAGCAGCGAGAGCCAAAAAAGAGCTCTGAATGCCACAGATTGAATGCACAAACACAGCCTCAGCTTGGCATGAAATGTTAACCTTAAATGTCTTCCTTTTACTTGGATGAACACGTCAAATCACAACTGTTATTTAGTTTAAGCCCCCTTTGTCGAAAAAAGCTGGAACCATGATGCTAAGTTGTTTCCTGCTTGCATGACAGGAGTTAAGCGACCGGCGCTCCACCACATGCCGGCGCATGGATTGACTCCAAAGGGTTAATTAGTCTTCAGGTTTTAGTCTGGCCAGCTAAAGCCCCCACTTTCCCAGAATGCACTGCAGTTCATAACACCACCTTTACTTCATCCTCAGTCGTAAACAGTCATTATCTCACCTGCTTATTAAAAAGTCTTCATATGAACTTATGTGATTCAGTTTTTTGGAGCTGGTAGAAATTCACGTTGGTCTTGTCTACATTTTGATAATCTGAATTGAAACTCTATTTCTCCTAACTGAGGTTTTTCAACTATCTACCTTCTACAGGTAAGACGTTAACTGATCAGAACCTTTCCTCAAAATTCATAAGATCTATAAGAAAACTAAAACCGTGAGCCATGAAGGTTATGACTACTGTGAAAATATATCTTTTTGTTCCTCCCAGCTTATTTAGTAATGTCAGTTTTGCTGGTGAAATGTCCACAGACAGGCCAACGTGGAGAAAAATAAAGCCGTGAAAACATGAAAGGTTTTAAATTATACATCTGAAAACGTGCGTGACAAGTTGAACTGTTATGACATACATCATTATATTCAGTATGTGTGTGTGAGCCAGAGAGAGAGAGCAATAGAGAGTGAGAGTGTGTGTGTGTGTGTGTGAGAAAGAGAGAGAGAGAGCAATAGAGAGCGAGTGTGTGTGTGTGTGTGTGTGTGTGAGAGAGAGAGAGAGAGAGAGAGAGAGAGATAGAGATAGATAGAGAGAGAGAGAGAGAGAGAGAGAGAGAGAGAGAGAGAGAGAGAGAGACGGGGAGTTATGTAACAAAGGTTGATCATTTCTTTCTAATTCCTGTTCCACCTACTTGCGTTCTCTTCAGAGCACATTTTATCTTCCCTGCTGGAACACAAAGTCACAATAAAGCAAATAAATGTTCAAACGCCTCTTTTTTCCACCATCTCTCACATCTTTTTTAATTGTGATTTTGATCAGATCTCCTAATAAAGCGATTGCAGCAGCTGCCGGGCATATGACCGTGCTGTTGCATGCTCAGAGGTTACTGGGGCAGCGCCCTGGCAGGGCTGGAATATGTTTGTCTCACATGTAGGAAAGCAGTAAGATTATGTAAGTCTTTATGTAATCTGCATCAGCGGACATGAATGACAGCCCTGATCTGTTGCCATCTGAGCGTCTGCCTACTCGCCAGAAGGCTACAGTGAAACTCCACGCTGCACAGAAATCAATCAAATGCACCCTTTTTATTCACTTTTTCTTAAATGTTGTATTTAGGGGGGATAAAAGCAAAAAGTCAATAAAATAAGAAGTCCTTCTTTAGGTTTGAAGTGTGAAGTAATAATGATTCTTGTTCCAGAACACGCTGCTGCTTCTCATTTCAATTCTCTTTCATCACTCTGGGCTACTTGGGTCTATTAATCTGAAAATAAGCACTCACACCTTTAATTATTTTTTACATAAGATGTGATCTCCCCAGACAGACGGATCTCCTCCCTAGGAATCACACGATGTGGTGAGTAATACCAGGTCTCTGTGAACTGTCCCACAGGTGTCCCAACCTCCTCTCACTGACCCTCTCGGGCTGCGCACACATCACCGACCTGGATGTGACCTCCGTGCTGCGGAGCTGCAGGAAGCTGCGCAGCCTCCACCTGGAGAACTGCGTCCGGATCACAGACTGCAGTTTGGAGGGAGTAGCGGTGCACGGAGGACATCTGGAGGAGGCCAGAGTGGATTTCTGTAGGAACATCACTCAGGCAGGGCTGCAGAGCTGTAAGGAGGCGAGACCAGTGATGCGTCTGAGTGCAGAGAGGAGCGCTGATATGATCCCTGACAGTAAACCTGAAGAGAAGGTGCAGCTCAGGAGATCACTGCCGAAAGTCCTGCAGTTCTCCTGACTAGAAAGAACTTCATTAGAATGCTTTTGTTAAAATATGTGACTGATTTCAGTGTTTTTATACTACTTTTTATACAATATTTATTCATTATTGAAGACTTTTTGCTTAAACAGACTGTATGAGTTCTATTTACACGTGTGGCCTTATCACTGATTCTTAAGCACACTGACATAATTAATTTGTTCACTTTTTGCTGTGTAAGTAACCGAGTCCTTAAGATCCAACTGTTACATTTCTACAACCACCTGTAAAAAGGTTCATTCCGACCAAAGATGGTCCCCACGGGCATTTATTCTCAGGAATAATTAACCTATGGTTTGTTTTCCTTTAGTGTACGAAACCATGCTTTCAAAAATAAAAATAGGAAAAAATGGCAAACCATGAAACCAGGTGAAGGTGCCAGTAAGTTTCTGTTCACAGCTGAGGAGACCTGAGTTGCAGACAGATGAGAAGTGGAACGATTCTTTCCTGGAGAAAAAACACCACAAAAACAACTCAACAACATTCCAAGTAAAGTTGTTGCACAATCCTGCGAAAGTCAAGTCACTGAACGACTGAAGGGTTACATTTAAATTGTCTGGCCTGAGCTGATAGAAGAAACAGATTCAGGGAGAGGAATAGGCAGTTTAACGAAACCAGTGGCGCCCCCAAGGGGTGGCCAGAGGTGGCCATGACCACCCCTAGAAAATTGCTGGCCACCCCACTGGCTTTTTTCTAACATGTTTGTGTTTTTCAAATTTGATGTGCGCTGTTTTTTTCTGAAAATGGACGAAGGAGCATTTATTGCATCACTACAGGCTAAACTTTCCTCGAATTACGACAAGGATTAATTTGGTGTGCCACCCTCGTGAAACTTTTCTTGACACGCCTCTGAACAAAACCATCAAATATCTAAGATTTGAAAAGTAATATAAATGCAAATAAATCATAAGTTCTATATAATCAAACCTGAAAAAACATTGAAAGTCAATTTTGTAACATTTTAAAGGTGTAGGACATTCATTTAATCAATAGATTTCCAGTAGCCTCTAGTGGACATGAATGCTTTGCAAGTCATACTCGGGTAGAAAAAAAAACACTGGGATGCACCTGAATGAGGAAGTGTAATTCAGCTGGAGGAGAAAGTAACTTCTGATGATTTGGAGTCTTATTTCCTGATATATGTACATCTAGCCTCTGATTGGATAACTGCAACAAGACTCCACCACTGACTGTTTGCTCTGCAATGTTAGTGTTTTATCTCCACAAATAACACAAGCCAAGAGGAGTTCTGCTGTGTGGTGAAGTTGCAAATGTTAATGGTAGCTTCTGGTCAAGACTTTCTCTGCTGTTTCCTGGATGCTAAAACAACAGCAACTTCCCCTTCATGAGTCGAGATGGGCGAGTCCATGATGTGAAGTGACAGTGTGACCTGATCTGTCAGGCTTTTCAAATCCTAGAGTATCACCGTCTATTTTCTATCAGAAGCCAATGCGGCAGATAGGTGTAGGAGACTATTTTCATTTTCAGCCTGCATGAAACTCTCAAATATAATCAGAAATAATCATTAAAAATAGTTTCAGTGTGTTTTAGTGTTTAATAAAGAAAAACTATTTGGGAAATTAAGCAAATTTAAAGGTGCCATTGTCATTGGCCCGGTCTGTCTATTCATGGAAGCTCTTTAGGCTGCAGGATGCCCTGCTTTAAAACACATTCATGTCGCAATTTTTCCAAAAATAAACATGCCAGAAAAAAGCAGGATTCTGCCTTTGAGCACAAACTGTTCAACAAAAGCTGACTTCAGAGATAGCTGCCCCGCTAGCTGAGCGTTTACTAGAATAAACAGTTCAGATTCATGTGTTTCCATGATGAGGCGCATGCGGCCGCCTGCAGCACTCAAACACAACAACAGGACAGAGGGTTGGACGAGTCACAACACGGCCTTATCGCCGCCTCTCCGCTCTGCTTGCGTCAGCAAAGTTGTGGTGGCTTCATTCAGTCATCAAACACCAGTTAGCCAGGTGTGTGTCCTAAAATGCACTCACTTTCTGCCCTGAAACTACTTATTGGGATTCAGCTGAGCTCGCTTTAATTCGGTGTCACACAGGAGTGTGTCCGTTTGTGTGAAGACATTCTTTTAATTGGTCTTCGATACTTCTGCAGCAACAGAAAAAAAAGCTTTTTGTTGATCTTTGGAGCAATTAGAATTACGAGTTAATAGAAAGAAAGAAAGAAAGAAAGAAAGAAAGAAAGAAAGAAAGAAAACAATCCTTTATAAAGCACCTCTCAAGATAAAAATCACGAGGTGCTTAAATAAGGTAAAATATGATAAAAAATAATATTATGGTAATAAAGTTGTAGCATAATAATGTTTTATTCAAATATTACCACATTCTTTAAGACATCATGACTAAAATCAGTTGTACCCAGGGTCAAAGGGTTGCATGCTGCTCACTGAAATATTTGGGATTTTATGGTTTCAACCTTTCAGTTTCAGGGGCCATTAGAATAATTTATTCCTGTTTCAGTTAAAAGTTGCAGATAAAGATTTAAAGCACGCACAAGTGATCAAATGTGTCACCTGCCCTATGCAAGGTCATTACTAAAGCTTTTTATGATACATAACCCATCCAAAAGATAATTCTTTGGGAAAACAAAATCTAACAAACTGTAAAATGTAATCCAAATAAAATAAAAAAGAGAGAGCAGCTATAGGTTTGTCATTGGGCTTTGATCTCTGTCACTGTGTTGTAAAAAACATAAAATGTGTCTTTTGTGAATTAATATTACTGCCTCTGCTGCAATAGGATGTTGCCCAAACAGGTTTTTCTGACAGTGTTGGGTTATTATTGAAATCTATCTTTGAAATCTGAGTTTATTAAACATATTTTTTTGACATTTTGACATTAAAAGACCAAACGAGATAGGAGTTACACAACATTAATGCCTTAATAAATCTAACCCACAACTTCTTGTAGATTTTTGACGTAAACCCTTCTCAAATCACGTCTGGCCTTAGAGCATCTAGATGCAGTATTAGGATTAGTACATTCATCAATGACCTTCCATGTGTTTCTCAACGTCAAAGAACCTCACCTTGATGTCTTGGTCCCACACCGGTTGCCTTGGAGATACTGCGCTTGTTAGCCGTTTAGCTAGCTGAGCAAGGATACACGGGAAGTGTCTTGTAGCTAGGGATGGGTACCGTTGACATTTGAATCGATCCGGTACTTAACGGTACCAATTTTCGATACTTTTGAGTGTTTATTATTTTAATTCTCTTTTATAATTAAATATATATTTTTCTCAATATATAACAGTATTTGATAAATATCACGATAAATACCATTCAACTGTTTGTATTTTAACATCGTCCTTGTAGTTTTATAAGCTGGTAATTAAACTGAAGCAAACATCTTTACTGTGAACTAAATTTACTGTGTATCTTCATTCCTTTTGCCGTCTTTTTTCATTTGATTTTTCCTACTGGGAAGATAGAATTTCTGAGGAGAAAGCAAACACACCATTAGCTGATAACAATGGTAGCAATGGAAGCTAACATACCAAGCTAATGTTATCTTAAACAGTTTATTTAGCTGCTGGAGCAGATTAAAACGATGATGCCTCACACTTAGATCGTTGTCACTGGTTTCGTCTTCACCCGTCGCATTTAGTAAAGTGAAGCCAAACTTTAGAGCGCGTTCATGTTCTTCTAGTCGGGAATTCAGAGTTCCGAGGAGAAAGCGAACGCACCATTAGCGAAACGGAAGCTAACATATCAAGCTAATTATATTTACCTTCTGGAGCAGATTAAGATGAGGATGTCTCACTTAGATCGTTGTCGCTGGTTTCATCATCACCCAGTTACCCATCACAATTAGTGAAGTGGACCCAAGCTTTAGCGTTCGTTCTTTCTACCATGCTGCTCTGTTTACAACTGGCTCGCAGCGAGCGACGACAAAACGCTCTTGCGCATGCGCAGCTGTCTAGGCAAGTTCTCGTTATGAAGGACGGGTACCGAAACGAGGCACCGTTTGAAATGACATGAATTGGTGCTCGGTCGGTACTATGGAATTCGGTCGGTACCCTAAAAAGTACTGAATTCGGTACCCATCCCTACTTGTAGCCTGACCTTGGTGAATACAGCTCAGTATTTTGGAAAGGATGGTGTCAGATTAGGATCCAACAGCTACTCTGGGGGCAAATTTTACAATTATAAGTATATAATTTAACTTTACCGCACGTGTCACGTGACGTGGCTCCCGCGGCGGTCATGTGAGATAAGTCTGTTCCATTTAACCGTTTTCTTTGACTGAGGAAGGACAGTGTCCTTGTAGGCAAGGCGCCTGGCCTAGCAAGAGACAGCCTTGCTAAGCCAGGCGCCTTGGCATTGAGAAACACCCCTAGTCTTATACGCATCTACTGCCCTCTGGTGGAGGATCTAAAGGAGGCAAGGGCAGATTTTATTTCTTTATTGCTGTTATATTCTTATATTATTGCAGTTAATGTAATGAAATAAAGGAGGTTAATATTTAGTTGATTAATTAAACGTAGTCAATAACAGGCCAGCTTTAAAGACTAAATGTAAAATTTCTGGCTGAAATGACAGGCAGCAGCAGACAGTTAAGAGAACAGCAGGAATTTAAATCTGACATTCTGACAGATAGTCATATAAAATACTAATTTCAAGTGATTGATTCAATCTGTTCCCTGTGCTCCATTAGAATAACAAATTTCATTATAAAATCTTCAGCCGATGGAAGCTAACAGCTAACGCTAATCATTTTAATTAGCAGCTCCGCTCTCTGTCCAAGAGGGAGATCATGTGGAGAGATGAGAGACCGCCACTGATGGTGATGAGCCTCGAGGAAAAGGTTTGGATGCAAATCTAACCACCTGAAAAGCAAATCTAAATTTTAATAATTCATTTGCATAATTTATCTTTTATGCAGAGGTGCAGGAGCAATTTTCAACAGTGGATGAGGTTGAACCCACATTCCTCCGTTTTTCCAGTCATTGTTCTGTTAAATTCATGGAAAAGATGCCGTCTACCACAAACTATAAATGAGCTTCATTCCACTTTTTTTTTGTCTGCTTTCCAGCATAACCAGCTACTTATCCGTGCACGGCATTGTCAGAGAAACAATAGGCCGTTCCTCTAATGCAGGGTTGTCAAACTCAAATTCACACTGGGCCAAAATGAAAAACTAGGACGAAGTCACGGGCCAAATTTAATATTTTTTTAAAAGTAACGGCAAATTAGCTTATTTTTTTTTCTGCAGATATGAACGGTTGAACCTTTTCATTGGGAAACAAACTTATTTTTGCAGTGACACTGAATGTGGAATAACCAAATTACACACGAGCAAGTCGATTTTAAATAAAGCACACATCAGTGATATTCA